GAGTAAAGGTAAAAATAATTCCCATGCTCAGTCCCATTTTATAGCTCAAGCCTAATGTTAACAATTTGGAAGGAAAATGATGATAGTTGGATTTTGATACTGCTGCATCTCATCATTTTTGTAAAAATCGTGAATTGTTTGATACTTTTTCTCCTGTGAAAAATGAGAATATGCTAGTAGCTATTGATGGGGTAACTTTTCCAATTCATGGGAAGGGTACTGTTAAAATGAAATTTGGGGATACGGTTATTTTGCTTAAAGATGTGTTATACTCACCTGAACTGAGACGAAATTTAATATCTGGACCTAGGGTGGATATCAATGGAGCAAGATTTTATGGTAAAAATGGGCAAATTAAAGTTACCTTGTACAAATGAATTGTAATGAAACCTTGTACAAGGCTAAGTTGATAGGAAGTAACTATCATGTATTCCCGAAAATAGTGAAAAAGGGGGGCAAATCTGTAAAATTTGAGGCATCCACAGTTCAGCATAACAATAGTGAATTATGGCATGGTCGGTTTGGTCATATAAATTATGGTGCTATTGTCAGGACTAGTAAGAGACATTCAGTTCGAGGTCTTCCTGTGTTAAAGCACTCACCTAATTTGTTTTGTGAACATTGCCAAATCAATAAGCAAAGACGAATCTCCTATAGACCCTTAGAAGGTATTCAAGTAAAGAAAACCGCTTGAAAGGGTTTTTTCTGATGTATGGGGACCTATTAACATTCCAGGTAGGAATAGTGAACGTTATTTCGTTTCCTTTATTGACGAATATTCTCGTTATGTGGTAGTGTACCCCATTGTGGAGAAAAGTCAGGTGTTTGAAGTATTTGAAAGGCATATAGCACGTGCGGAAAGATCTTTGAACCTTAAGGTTGAAATACTTTAGGACTGACAATGGGCGAGAATATGATAATGATCAATTCAGGTCATATTGTAATAAAAATGGTGTAAAGCACGAATTTACAGATGTATATACTCCAGAACAGAATGGAGTTTGTGAGAGATTTAATCAGACAGCTCTCAACAATGTACGTGCAATCTTACATGATAGTGGAATGAGTTCCGAATTTTGGTCAGATGCAGTAATGTATTTTGCATATTCATTTAATAGAATTTGTCATAAGGGCCAAGATAGAACCCCATTCGAATTGTACACTAAGCGGAAACCATCAGTACGTCACCTTAAGGCATTTGGAACGATTGCCTATGTGGGAATTCCAAAGGCTAAAAGAAATTCTAAGCTTGATCCAAAGGCAACGAAGGGCCGATTGATTGGGTACAGTGTACGAACAAAAGGGTACAAGATTTGGTTGGAAAATGAGCAAAAAGGTAGTAGAAACCCTAAATGCTACTTTTAAAGAGTCAATTGGAATGCAGAAAAGTGACAGTGGAGCTGCACTGGGCACCCTTCCTGATTTGGAATCTGAAGAAAGGGTAGAGTTCCAATCTACTGATACTCCAGTTGGCTATTTTCCTGAAAAAGAGGAAAGAACCGATACCAATGTACCTTCTTCTACAATTGGCACTGACACTCAATCTACATTGAGACAAGTAACTTGGCTTCGTAAACCTGTTACAAGGCCAGACGGCGCTCGTACGGATGTGAACATAATATTCAGTATGATCCTACCTTATTTGATTTCAAGGGAAGCAATACTTATAGTCGTGAAATCGACCCAACTGGCACTCCTTCAACATCATATACCCGAGATAGCTGACTAGAGGTTTCAATTCCAAATACTTATAGCCAGGCAATGAAATTCACAGAAAAGCTTAAATGGATAGAGGCAATGGAAGAGGAAATGGCCAACATGCGAAAGCATAAGGTATGGCATCTTGTTCCACTTCCTAAAGACAAGACTCCACTAGGTTGCAGGTGGATTTTCAACATTAAACGTGACGAATTTGGAAACATTGTTCGTTTTAAAGCTCGTTTAGTGGCTCAGGGTTATCGGCAAATTAAATACGATACCTATGATGAAACCTACTCTTCTGTAGTCAACTTTTCAGTAATAAGGCTCTTTTTCTCCTTTTTAGTTGCACACCTTGGATGGGCAAATATACAATGCGACGTAAAAAGTGCCTATCTCTACGCTCCTTTATCAGAGGAAATTTACATGTCCCAACCTCAGGGTTTTGTAGGGCGAGATAAAGAAACTTTTGTGTGTCGTTTAGACAGAGCCTTGTATGGTTTGCATCAGAGTGGGCGATTATGGTACTACGAGTTGGATAGAACACTATGTAACCTAGGGTTTATCAAGTTTGAGTGGTGTAATTGTGTCTATCGTTTTAAAGATTTTGTCATTCTGTTGGTTTATGTTGATGATATAGCTGTGTTTGGGAAAAGTGAAGTTCAGGCCAAAAGGATATTAAAAGTCCTGAGTTCACATTTTGATTTGAAAATTTTGGGTAAAACAAGAAAGCTTCTGGGTGTGGAATTTGAATATGAGAAAAAATAGTGTTTTAATTCATCAGCAATTATATATAGAAGACATAGTTGATCGATTTAAGTCTTTTAAAATACAAATTACTTCCCTTCCAATAGTTAAAGGTGTGAAATACTCAAAGTCTCAAAGTCCCAGTACACAAGAAGAAACGACTGAAATGATGAATTATCCTTATAGAAATGTTTTGGGATGTCTCTCGTTTCTTTGCAATCGTACTCGTCCGGATATAGCTTATGCTGTTAATATATTTTCTCAGTTCCAAAGCAATCCTGGTAAGTTTCACTGGGAAGGATTACTTAAACTTTTAGGGTACGTTTCCAATACCAGACAGCACAAACTTAAACTGGTATGCAAGGAACTGAAGCTCAATATATATTCAGATTCGGATTTTGCTTCAAGCAGGGATGATATGGTGTCTATTGGTGGACAAATAGCTTTGTTGGGAGAATCACCTGTATCTTGGCGCATACATTTAAAGAAAGGGGAGTGAGTTTGTCTACTATGGAGGCTGAATTTATCTCCATGACTGAATCAGCAAAAGAATTAGTTTGGTTTAAGAAACATTTTGGATGAATGCATTCAGTTTAAAATTGCAAGTAACTATGTTTCGAAACCAATATTGTTTGCTGATAACATGGCTGCTATATGTTTTACAAAATCACCCATTGAAAACTCAAGGACAAAACATATAGATGTGAAACTATTTTTCATTCGTGATCTATTGAACAGGGAAATTTTTGATTTAAAATATGTTCCAAGTAAAGATAATCTGGCTGATCCCATGACAAAACCGCTGACTAAGCATAACCTGATAAGATTTTGTGGAACAATTTTCTTTTGAAATTTGTTTTTGTGTAATGATTAAGAGTTTTTGATTGTATTTAAATTAAGAGTTTTGTTTATTTGAAAATAATATGTTATAAGTCATATTATGATGGATATTAGGTAAATGTAAAACTGTATAGTGTAGAATGTTGTATGAGTGACCAGGGCCCTGGGTAAAAGTATTGAGTGTGTGATCATATATATGTCTTTATATTGTTTTGTAACATGTTGGACTTTCTTGCTATGGTAAAATTTTTGAATAATGGGATAAGATGTTCCCAAAGCAAAATTTTTCTTAAAAATTTCTGAATTGAATGAAATTGTGATATTTATTTATTCTTGTTTTGAATTTTGTAAAGATACTGGCATTCAGTTTTTATTTCAGGTCGGAGATGATGATGTGGGGGGCATTTGTTGGAAAATATAGCTTATTGTAAACCTTTTACTGCATCATCTCTCCTCCTTGAAATGTTTATTTAGTTTAGTTCTTATTTTAATGTAATATAGTAGTTACTTCTACTTCTTTTTCTTGCTGCCACTGTTTGCATTGAGAACGGACTGTTTCAACCTAATTGAGATGTAAAAACGAAACGTGATGTTACGTCATCTGGAAAGCCGATTCGTGCCGATAGCTGATTGGTTGCCGTGAGATGACGTCATTCCTACTTCTGCTATAAGTATCTCGCATCGCTCTGGCTCAACCCTTCTAGTTCCTGCTTTCCTGGCACTTGGGTGTGTGGTTTCCAGCCCCTTCAGAAGGATGCATGCAGTCCGGTGAATAAAGTTCCTTGGTTCCTGTTCACAAGATGACTGTTCCTGAATAAAGTTCCTTGGTTCCTGTATACAAGATGGTTGTTCCAGAATGAGTTCCTTGGTTCTCATGTCCACAAGATAATTGTTCCAGAATGAGTTCCGTGGTTCCAGAAGATACCATGTGAGTGACTGCCGTGGGCGGCATCCATGTTCTTCAATGAAGGTGGCATTTAAAATACGTGAGCAGCGATTCCTCGTGTTCAACTAATGCAAACGGAGTTAGGCCGGTTTTGAGTGCTTTCAAGAACGTAATTTAAATTTCAGGTATTTTCTCGACCATTGATCATGGACTTTTTGAATGTGTAGCCAACTTCATTTTGAGGCCGCATAATTACTGTTTTGGACATTTTTGTTTGTATTGAATGCCAGTGTTTTTGGAGACCAGGTAAAAATATTATTGATGAATGATGGTTATATTATATTTTTCCTAAGACTCTGATATTGTTTAAATTTATTTTCTGTGTTTTTATTCTTTATTATATTGTTAATAAATTGGTTAAATTTGAAACCTTTTTATTGTCTTCAATTTCTGCACAACATATTATCTGAGGGAGCTTTTATTGCTACTATTGCTAAATGTTTAAATTTTTTTTTTTTTTTTTGTAACTTTAAACTTTGCTTTAGCATCACGCAGCCGTAAAGGTCTTACGTGCATGCGTCAACGCGACGCATGCGCAGAACGTTTGTAGCTTTGAGGTCCGGATTATAGATCATTCCAGATTATGGGTGTCCGAATTAACGACTTTTGACTGTATTCCTGTATATCTGGATGGACCAAAAGCTTTTGGTCATGTTGAAATGTCTTTTGCAATTGAAAATCTTATGGTGGGAAGACAACTGCATAATAATTGTTCAATCCTTTCATCTGAATTTACTGCAATTTGTTATGCTCTTTTATCTATATCTAGGCATTTCCAAAGAAATTTTATTTATTATGACTCCATTAGTGCTCTAAAAGCTGTAGGAATATTCTCTGACACCGAGAATCTGGTTGTAGTTGAAATTCTAAAGTTGAATAAAAACTTAAGTAGCCATGGATACCAAATGTTTTATTGCTGGGTTCCAGGACATACAGGAATAAAAGGTAACAAGGTGTCAGATATCACAGCCAAAACTGCTGTTGAGGTGTCCAGTCAAGTTGTTCCTTTCAGAGATATCACTAAGGTCATCAAGCAGGAAGTCGTAAATAAATGGCAAGAGATCTAAGATACACAATTCAATAATGAGCTAAGAAGCGTGAAACCTAGAGTGTAATTTTGGGGAAGTACTGGAAACCAGAGAGAAGTCCTCTTGACTCGTATTTGAGTCAGCCACTCTCGAATCACTGACAATTATCTTCTGAAAGCGGAGAAGGAGCCATTTTGTCCCGACTATGATAGCATTCTGTCTGTATGTCATTTTTTAATAGTCTGAATTTTAATAGGCTTAGATTAAATCATTTTAACAAGTGTAACTTGCCTCTTGACTGTTTAATCAGGAAATGAGTCAATAATAATTTATTTCAATACTTGAAAGAAACAGGTCTTTATTATTTGATTTGATTCAGCTTTTATTATTGTGTATTTTTTATGTGTCTCATTGTTCGATGGATTTTATTTCCTGAGTTTTATATATATATATATATATATTATTCATTTTAGTGTTTATCATTTTATTACTTCATTTGGATTTTATAACTTAGCTGTTTGTTATTTTAAATTTGTTCGCTATGTTAACTTGTGTTGTTATGTAAGCTATCTAAGTATAACTGTGTGTTTGGCACATATAACCTATCTGGTTATGCACCAGTACCTCTATAACCGCCACCACTTTCTCCCTTCAACACTACTATGCCAACAGAAGAAAACTAGTATGAACAATATCCCACTTCAAACAAATGTGTCTTGTAGCATCACTTCTTGGGTAGATCAGACAGAAAAATGCTAACTCCACAACCACACAAGATGTGATCCTGGCCATGGTGTAATTCACCCAGCCAACTAGTGTTTTAAAAGTGGCATTACAAGAATCTGTTACTCATGAGAAAATCATATTTATGGCACCTCGCCTTTTTTTTAGCATTATGTTTTCTATTTCTGGACTTCGTAAGGGACGTGTCTTTAAAAAAAAAGTATTTTTTGTGGCCCTGAGGTCCAGATATTATATTATTCTGGATATTGGATATCCAAATTTTAGACTATAGTTTTTAAGTCAATTCAAAATAATCTTAAATTTCTTGTTGCCATTTAATATAAAGCAAAATAATCTTCACATGTAAATTTCAAAAACAATATTAATTTATGAATATATCTTTATTGCAATAAATTTTAATCTGTGTTTAGGATATGCACTGTGTTTCTAGCACCATAGGCAAAATGAAAGAAATTTAGGGTTCAATTTCAAAGCAGTTTTCATAAAATCTGCAAAAGCAAAAATCTGGTAAATATATTCCTGTTCCCCCACACACAGATTGTCTCAAAGTAACAAATTTTGAAAGGAAGTGGAGAATATCAAAAGGAACCACATTCATATAGGAAAGCATGATTGGAAAGTGATAGATGATAGATGAGTGATAGATAGATGAGCTGTTAACTAGCATTTCAGAAGAGCAATCTGTAGTTTCTTAATTCAAGCTCTGGCCATTACGGGAAGAAACGCATCATTTTATGGATTCAGATATGGTAGATATTAGCCTTACATATAATATAACTGAGGGCAATGATTGTGCTGCAATACGGCTGTACTGAGAAAAGTGCCCTAACAGACATCCAGATTATTAAATGTTTGCGTATTTGCATAAAAATACAGTACAAAGTCCATAATCCGGACTCGTCAGGACTTTGGCGATTCCGGATTAGAGTTTTTTCCGGATTATAGATCATCAATTTAAATCTGGTAAGATGGCATGCAGAAATTATACAATTAAAAATATGAAACCGTAATTTATGAAATAAAGAGCAATTATGATCTAAAGGGTATCAAAATTTACAAAAAGGAAAAGCTTTACTTTATTAAACATTTCTTTCAATGTAAGTTGTTTAAGTTGCTTCGTTTTTTGTGCTAATACTTTCTCTTTAATTCTATAAATAGACCTAATTTCTTGTTCACTTACAAAGTTCCACTGTTCAAGTCCTGTAATTGCTGTGTCGAGAATACCGACTAACTTGTCAATTGAAATTTTTTCGTTTTCAATAACCTCTCACTTTCTTCACTATTGGAAGCGTGCATGGGTAAACACTTTATGCACATTAAATGCGCATGCGTAAGTTTGTGGCTTTGACGTCCGGATTATAGATCATTCCGGATAATGGACGTCCGGATTACAGACTTTGTACTGTATATGTGACTATAGAGCATTTAGGGATAACAGATGTAGTGTGGACTGAACCCAGGCAATGTAAACTTACTTCATTGAAAGAGACAACTCTGAATATTGCAGGCAGGAATTCCAATATGGGCACGTGCTATTGCATCTGCAATTGGAGTATCTCATTGTAGTAATATCATACACTCTGCACTCACTCCTTACAACTTTATCATACCCAACAAGTGCTATTCTTTTGTTATTAGACCCAAATTTCTCACCCTGCGTCACTCCCGTAAATAGTGCTAGTCCTGTTTTTATCATCAACACTGTTATCTTTCTTAAAACAATGTAACATTTTATGTCTCGAATGTTTTATTTGAGTGTCCATACTACTTAAAGGCATGCAAAAGTGTATATAATTTTTCAGTGCAATTGAAACATATGCTACTGTAACTAGATGTTCACTGAAATGGATCACAACAGTTTCTAACAGATAAGGTTGTAAGTTTATGTAAGTCAATTTCAGATCATGAAAAAAACTTTTGGTACTACATAATTCTAAAGTAATAGGTCTAAAGTTTCAACAATAGATATAAGCTGAATTATTCACTGTATTTTTTGTGCATAGACCTTTCTTTATGTTTAAATGTGTACATCTTCAAGAAATTAGTGAAAGCTGGATTCATGTTACAGTATTTCCTTGCAGTTTTTGCCGAGCAATATAATCCAGAAGATGATGAAGATGACGATGTTGAAAGAGTAAGTACGATAGCGGTATTTTTCCTCTTCGTTATTATATTCCGTTGCTAATATTTAAATATTCATTAACGTTGTTTTAAAAAAGACTTTTTATTTACCAACCCCTTCACTTTTATGCATTGCAAAATTGCACGCTTCAGTAATTTAGCTATAGGTTATCTAGAATTCAGTTATCATCATCATCATTACTTGCTAGTGTATAAGAGCTCATTAATTCTAAGTAAAAGAGATTTTTGACTAGTGTGAAGTTTTAAGGTTGATTGGTTAATTTCAGTGAAGCATATCGAGGCTTTTTCTTCATTAAAAACAAAAGATATGTTTTGTGCATATTTTTTCAAGAAGTATGATATGTACTTTTTTCACACACATATACAAGTAGAAAACAAATATTTTGTTTTTCTTAGGTAGTAATTATAGAAGTGTCTAAGATGACATCTAATAGATTTTTATTGTTTTTAGCAGATTATAAAATTTGCTAAAGTGTGTATCGTATACTTTTGCAATGTTGAAATACCACATTATTGCCATCAGAAGTATTTACATCTTTTCATGAAGTAAGACCCACTGGCATAGCCACCACTTTCTGATTATCTGCATACCCCTCTGAAAAGCTTTAAAGTCAGTGGTGCCCAATTTTTAGCCAAGCTAATGCATGAAAAGTAACATTCATTTTCAAAATGCCAGCACATAAAATATTAAGTTGAATAGCAATCAATCAATAAAATTTAAAAGGTAAGAAAAACTGATTAAAAAAAAAGCCCTTCCTTTAAGAAATAATTTTGTGTGCTGTTGTTTTTCCCTTGTACTCACTGCTCCATTCTTGCTTAAAAAACATCAATGACTTGCACAGTTGGCATCCGTGCACTGTGCACTGGCCAAAACAGACTTGCTAGATGCACACATCTGTTGCCATATAAATACTTTTCGTGACACTGTAAGTTGTCGCATAAATGCTTTTTGGTTACATTTTGAATTGCCGCATAACTATTTTGTCGACATATTGCTTTATCTTGTGAATATTTTTTGGTGGCTTTTAGATGGGTGGGTAAGGATAATCAGAAAGTACTCGTGCCACCCAGCTTGATCTGATTAATTGTCCCACTTTTACATGAAAAATCTATAGAGTTATAAACTAAATAAATAAAATCTTCAAGTTAAGGTTTATGTGAAATTTTAATTCCAACATTTGAAGTGATATCTTGTTTCTATTAGCAAATCGTTGATGAATTGCAGAAATTAGTTTAATTACTCTGATTGTTGTTCTGTAAATGCTAAAGTAATATTTTTTTAAATGCAAGGTACTCAGTTTTAGACTTTAGGTGCTTCGTAATTGATTTGTATTAAAAACTGGTACTTGCATATTATCCCATCAACTGCAAAATGTTCACCATGCCGAATGATTTAGCACCAAATATTGATAAGCTGGACGTAACACTTGTAACCTCTACAAATGATGTATAACCTTTTTTTCTACAACTTTATATAGACTGTGAATAGCAACATTGAAAAAGAAAAAAAAAATATTAGAATAATAATGTTTCAAAAAGATCGATTTCTGAAAAAGGTGTTTTTAAATATAGTAGTGAAAGGCTATTTTTAAACAGAAAAATAACAATTCTTTCTCAATTCATCTTTGTATGACAGTTAGCTTTTCCTGATTCTTCACCACAACAGTGACCAAGTTAATAAGATTGCTGATTGCTGGTAGTTTGACCTAGGAAGCCCAACGAACATAATGGCTGTATGAGTGTTTTGTGGATTTTTCTATGTGTAATGTAAGATATGTAGCATTGCATTCATATATACTTGTCAAGAATGTGACCCAGTACTTCTTTTGTAAATGAATATGAGCCAGTTTCTGTTTCACTTGGGCAATAGAGGCACTTGGGTAGATAATGAGAGCAATCCTGTTAAATTTATCTTATTTTGGCTGTGATGATTTGTATCATTAATCCTTATAAAATTACTTCATGTGCCACTCTAAAAAATGTGCTGCCAGGCCAGACTGCCGCCTTTTAGCTATGCAACTGATGAGACCACCAATGCCCAAGTGGATTAAATATTGGCAGTTTGCCCTGGGCTCCCAGTGAAGAGGCTACCTGCCTGAACATTTTGATATGTTTCTGTATGTGTAATTTGGATAAGAGCCAGTTTCCTTTAAAAAGTTGTCTGCAAAAGCATCCCTTCCCTTTGGCAGATATCCTTTATGTGGTTTTCTGTATTCTAACGAGTCTGATTTTTCTTATTGAATGACACGTTCATGCATAAACAGCTTATATATAAATTTAAAACTATGTTCAAATGAAGTGGATAGCATAGCTACCAACTCTCCCAGTAAAACCAGGAAACTCTTAAGTTTTTTTACACATCTCCTAGTCTTCAGAAAATTACTGAATCTTCCGATTTTTAATTTTAAGCCTTTACTTATGGAAGTGTGTTTCAGCAGTAAAATTAAATTGTGTGAATGAAATTAATTTGTGCAAAACAAATTTGCACAGTCAAAATTTTATTATAAAATTAATGAAACTTAAACTGTGCAAATTTCATTCTCCCATCCATAGTGATCTTAAGCGTAATTTTTCTTATCAAATAAATTTCTTTCATAAACAAAAGCTTTCTTTCCCTGCTCCGAATTTTCTCAGTTTAAATGTATAAGAAAACTACAAACTGAAGTTAGAAAAAGAACATAAAATTTTAAATATTAATATATCATACATTATAATCATATAATAAATAATTGAATAAGCTAAATCATATGATATAAAGTGAAGTTAAGTCAGTTTTGAGGTCCTTAAAAATGGTGTCCAAGTAAAATGTACATTCCTTCCAGAAAGTTCCAGTTTTTCATATTTCGAGGTTGCCAGTATGGGATAGTTATTGCATTTACTTACATTACTTACACATAAAGAATTATACTGATCAGCAGCTACAATACTTTTTTATATTTTATAGAACATTCATTGCTTAAACGAGCATGACTTTATATCAGATTTTATCAACTATGTATATAGCTGGTCATGATAGAAGTAATAACATGGCTTTACCTGAATTAACCAATTGAATTTTTGCTTCTAATTCAAAGTTCTGTGACAAAATGAAAATGGAAGTACAGGCTATAAAAGAATAGCATTTTTAGGTTTGTCAGTACAAGGAATCTAGGTATAATATTGAAAATACTGAAGTAGGCAAGTAGTACATTTACACAACTTTTGTGTTATGGTGTTTGAATAGGCCAGTAGTATGTACATATACTGTCTGGAGAATCATTTTAAAAATGCTGTGTGTAAAATGTACATGTTTAATAGTCAATGAAGGAAGATCAGCCTAGCAAAAAATATCCATGAAACTCAGAGGTTGATTTCATGGAAGTTGTTGAGGAAAATTATGCAATCGGTGCAGAATTTGCTTAATTGTTCTTGTATTCTGCAGTATTAATATATGTGGTGGCTTTGAATTTGTTTTAAGGATAAATAGTTGCTCCAGTCATTGACATATTGGCAGTCAAGGAACTATGTCTATTTGTTTTCCTCATAGTGGGCCTGCTGAGCACAGCGAGACTTGGGCAGCATATTGCAGGTGGTGACAATTAGTGGATTATGTACAGAAGTAAAAAACTCCAAAGAATTATGTCCATGCCCAGAATTATCTACCACTTTGTGAAATCCAGATTTGCATTAACAAAAAGGTAATTTTAGACTACTTCAGGCCACTTTAAAGTACCTGTTTGTATCTTGGCCACCTGTCTTTCCTGAAATTTTAAGGACTAAAGAGACAATTTCTGCTCTTCTAAATGTCATTTTGATTATTGAGTTCTCTTTATTTTATTTTTCTTTTGTTTTCTAATTTTCTCCCTTTGCTTGCATTGCCGTTGTACATATGTTTATTTTTTAGTGCCATAACTTACTTGTGTAAGCCTCGTGGTATATTTTGTGGAACACGAGTAGTTAGAGTTAACAAATGTATATAGATTTTTGGAAAGGGAGGTAAATTTGTGAAAATATTTGGAGTATGCTTTTATCAAAGACAGAAATCTTAAAACCAATTTTTTTTTTTTTTAATCAGAACTTTTTTTCAAAATTTGCATAGTTTTTATACTTATCTGGTAATTTAGAGTGTGTTGAAAATATGATTTAAAAAGTATAATTGTTTCTTTGTTTCAGATAATTTATCCAAAGTCAGACGAACAAAGGCAGCGTCTTGGCGAAGCTGTTAGAAACATATTGCTCTTCAGATCTTTAGATTTAGTAAGTATACATTTTAATAAATATGTTCTTTCATTTACATTCATTTTTCTGTTTTTTGCTTAACGTTATTCTGATTCCTGTACTTAATGTAACATTTTAAATTTCAGCAACAAATGCAAGAAGTTCTAGATGCTATGTTTGAAAGAAAGGTACTTCATTTTTGCATTCTTTATGTTTTAGCTTTTTTTTTAATTTAATGTTAAAAAATTAACAATGAGACCTTTTTTTTTTTTTTTTTTTTTTTTGAAAAAATGCATATTTTTCTCTCTAGTACTTAAGCAGAGATATCTAAAATTTGATTCATACATTTGCCCTTAGGCAGAGTTTCTCATATTTAAGTCATTAAACTCTTATTTTATAAGTAGCTAGTTGATTAATGCAAACTAGTATTTTGCTGGCTTGATTGAAATGATTTTCATTTACATTCAGTCATAAAACACCTGCTAATTTCCAAAATGTGTATCATTATTAATTGTGAAAATAGGTTCATGTTTTAGTGTAAATCAATAGTATGTTCATATTAGTAATGCAAATCCTTGTATTTATTCCTCAACAATGTAGGTGACTTAAGGTGATGAGCATAGTTACAGTAAGATCCAAATGTTTGGGTGCTTGGCTTTTAACACCTAACATGAATAGTTTAAATTATCAGTACACATCCATCCTCAAACTAATAGTTTAAATTATCAGTACACATCCATCCTCAAACTAATTACCATATGTAAAATATGTTTTTGCCAGTAATCAAACAGCTTTTTGAAATACTGCTCTAAGTTCCCCCCCCTCCCAGCCATCCATTATACATCTTTTAAGCATTTGCCTGACACTGATAAATGTCTCTGCAGGTTGCAGATTAGGTTGCGTGAAAGACTAAGCGCTGCGAGATATAAAAATACCTTAGTATTGTTTCATTGCAGTCTAGGTACTTTGTGTAGAGAAATATCATTGTACATTTTCCACATCCTAGACATTTAAGATTAAAAGGGGGGAAAATAAATAAATTATGTAAAATATCCATATAATGATCTGTTCTATTTGTTAATTTATTACAAATGCCCTGAAAATTGGCTATGATGCTGTTAGTTCTCTAGTCTTCCAATATTTCTGAACTTTACAGTTTAAAAATATAAGTGCAGAGCATGAGTCAAGATGAGTAGCATCAAAAGTTTGATGTTGTCTGCACAGAGGACATAAGGGAGAGTCACAAAGCCCAATTTAATACAAGTATGGGGCAAACAGTCATTGCCTGTAGTAAGGCGGAAAAGTGCAACAGTTGCACTTCTAGAAAAATCTGACATCAACTGTGTATCCTTAAGCAGCGAGGCCCATGGCTTACTGGCAGAGTCACACAGTGCTCTCTGCTTTATTCTCGAGGCATATCTTCTTTTTATCAGGATTTTGACAATGAAATGAGAGGCTTTTCAAAGATCTCTGGAGAATTCTTGCACCCTTTTTGGCCAAAATGTCTGCAGCCTTGTACCCAGTAATCCTGCAGTGAGCAGGGATCCATTGGAAAGAAACAGAGATTGATGTTGAGAGCTCTCTGCACTCCAGTATATGGATATTATCTGTGTATTGTTTATTTGCAGTATATTGAAGAGCAGACAGGGAGTTTGATAAAATGACCACTCTGCAGAATGACGAGGGACGGATAGCCAGTTGCTTTAATGCGATATAAATAGCCTTGATTTTGCCATCGTAATGGGCGGAATGAGCATCTGTTGGTGCATAGCATGAAAAAAAGATCACAGTACACACTGGCTCCTGCTCCGTCTCCATCATTAAATATTGATCCATCTGTATAGACATTTGTGTGTAGGGTATTTGTTTACAGTGGTTGATAGAGCAATGACATGAACCTGTATTTATTCGTGAGGTTATGCTCTGTTCTTAATTCTGTTTTCAAGAATGAATACTGAAAACACAATGCTGTGAGAATCTAGAAATACTGTGAGCATGACTTGCTCAATTCTTGCCACAAATTCTTTTATCATAAATAAAAACCCCAATTTTCCACGTTTTTTTTTTTTTTTTTTTTTATATTTATATATATATATATATATATATATATATATATAACAAACAATTAGGGCCAAGTTGTATCAATTGATGATCCTATTCAAAGTAGTTAGCAAGGCATTGGTGTGTTTGTTAATTTGCCAAATATGCTTCATTTTTATTTTGAAATCACAAGCCAAAAAAAGTGTGCTGATGTATATTAAGATCATCCATTATGCTTACAAGTGATCTGGGATAAGTGAATAGCCGTAATCATATCCTGAAGAGTTTGCTGACTATGCTGGTGGACATACTGTGTCATCAAATTAATGTTTTCCATAGAGCATGCTATTGTAAGTAACATTCATTAACTGTGGTAAAATTTTGTACTGTTTTAATCTTGCCATCATAGAGTCATTTTACACCTTCCTTAGCCTTTTTAAAATGCACATAAATGTACCAAATGCTGGCAAAATTAAATTTTACAGTTCTGCTCTTAAAACTCCATTATCCTTATATTGAACAAAGATGACTAATCACATTACGGTTTGTCTGCTCTTTATAGATCTCTCTCTCTCTCTCTCTCTTTTTTTTTTTTTTTTTTTTTTTTTTTTGTCATAACTGTCTGGTTATGGAGAGAAGGGATAAGGTTTATTTCAAATAGTTTCAGTTTAGTTACCTGATTGTGTTAAAAAAGGGTAGTCATAGTCCCTGAATTTTTTGATCCTACTGGTGATATGCATTTGTGTATTTCATTACACTGATTTATGTTTAATAGGTAAAACCAGGTGACATTGTCATTAAACAAGGAGATGATGGGGACAACTTTTATGTAATTGACAGGTTAGTATTTGATTTTATCATTTTATAATGTTATATTCATTAAATTTAATGCATTTTACTTTTATTGTTTATTAATATGAGGTTGTAAATTGGGTATTTAAATTAAGACTTTGCAACAAACTTTAAGAGGAGGTAGAACTCATTGAAAGGGTGCTTGAGGGTGAAGCCCAGAAGTTAAGGCGTGTTCCTCAAACCACTTCCTGATGATTCAACTGATGCATCCTGTTTTTAAACACCATCCCCCACTGGAAATACTGTTGTCATGAATGGGTGAACTAGTCTGCAACAATGTTCATGTAGTGCGCAGACACCCAGGATTGTAGGTCCTAATGTGCTCCATGGAAACATTGCCAACATCATAATACCCCCTGGCCACTAGCTTGTCTCCATCAGACTGTACATCTGGGAGCCAGTGTTTCATTTGGAAATTGGTGTATTAGCACATGCCTGTTGATGTGATGGACCAGAAAATGTGATTCGTCGGGCCATGCAACTTTCTTCCATTCTTCTAATGTTAAATTTCGATGTTCCTTAGCCCATTGCAGACACAGCTGGCAGAACTCAGTAAAATTTTGCCAGTTCTTCATCAAATTGAAAAGAAGTCTGCTGGATACAGGTCTTGAGATGTCTCTGTGAAAGGAAATCAAAAGACGGCAGATAGGATAGTCATGGGAACTGAGATATCAGACTATTTCACCTAATCCATTAAAAGGGGACATTCAGATACTTACATGTTGTTAAAAATGGGCAGGTATTCTATTGTACTCGAACATCCTCTGTCAGTTATGAAAAGGCAGTTTGCTGGAAAATATGGTACTTATATATGTATTCATAATGTGCATATTGGCATTCTTGCAAGTTGTGTAATCTTCCATCACTTCAGAACTTAAAGCACATTTATGCTTGTAAAACTGCTGCTTGTCTCTGTCTAGTGCCTTTTTATTTATGGCACTGTATTCTAAAGTAAAAAAAAAATTATGTTGATTTGTTCTGCCACCACTTTAAAGACTGTCTCAATTTTTTAATTACCCAGTAGATCCGATTTTTTACTTTAAAGACAAATAAAAGTTGTCTAATATGAATGAAATATTTCCGTAAACCACGTACAGGGTGTAACAGAAAGAACTAACCAATTTGGGAGTAGCATAGCTACAATTTGTGAACAGTATAACGATGGATAGCATACTGTCAAGTAATGAATTATGTGCCTTTTCAGAATAAATTGTAGCTTGGTCAGGAGAAACCACATTTCTGATAGCAAAGGGACTTATCCTTCGCATCCACTTTGCTCTCAGTCAACAAGACCCTGTTCCCAACAAAGAATCGTTTGCCATTTGGGTCTCCAACTTCGAAAGCTCCGAAGTAGGTGAAACAATGGGAAATTGCTACTATTACACCTGAAAGGACTCTCAAAGTCTTGGACAACTATCTAGGAAGCTTAAGTCAGTGAATAAACAATGGAAGCCCCCACTTGAGTGTTGCATTCAAAAAATAAAATGAAAATTTTCGCATCTTGTATGGTTTGGATTTTATTAGCTTCACAAATCAGAGGGTTCTTTCTGTTGCTCCCTGGCTTAGAAAGTATGTATCATAATGTGGATGCTAGGATATTGATCTTGGAAGTAAATGTAAAGAAACTAGACACAGTTGGTACATAACTAAGATTGAAACAAATTAATAAACCATGTGTTCTTTTTCAAGAAGACAAATTATCAGCAGAGCTGCATTTTTTCTTGGTGAATTGCTAAAACCAAATTAACTTTTAGGGGGGAAAATTGGGTAGAATATTTGAACTTTAAATAAAGTAATAATCAACATCATCTTTTGTAGTTTCTACTTGTAATTATTTTTTTTTATATATGATTTGTAATACTCAATGTTATCCTTATTATTTTGCTGGTTTTGATATAAGCAATGCTGTTATAATTTTATGTTTTAACTTACAGTGGTGTTTATCATATATATGTTGATACTGATCAAGAAAAGAATAAGTTAGTTGGAAAGTATGATAATGCTGGTAGCTTTGGGGAACTTGCCCTCATGTACAACATGCCACGTGCTGCTACAATTGAAGCTGTTACTGAGGGCTCTTTATGGGCTATGGTGAGAAAATATTTTTTATGTATGAATGATAATGTAAATTATTTTGTATTTTGATATTTATTCATTATTACTATAATATTAAGCTTAACTAACCCAAATATAAGTGAAATACTGTATAGTTTCGTAAATGTATTTTTTCCTGGAAGTAAAACATACATATTTTTAAGGATACGGTAGTTTCTAGCATTTTTTGCAGTTTAGCTGCATTTCTTTTAATTTATGTTAGTTTGGATTGACATTAAGATTTTTTAAACTGGTGTAATGAATTTTTCTTTCTTGGTTACAAATTGAATTTTCTCTGAATTTTAGGTTGAAGTTGTTTCTAGTATTTCTAGTTTAAAATTTTCTCCTTTTACAAAAGAAGTATCAGTAAAAATTGAATGATTTGGGGGGGGGGGGGGTTGGATGACTAGCATTGTCACATCTTCTAAAAGTGAATAAAAAATCTAATTTTTAAATTCATATAAGATTTAATTAGAAATATTATTTTGCATAGTTATTAAATTTGTTCATTCTTTTCCAGTTTCGTGAAATGTTCATTATTTATATTACACAGTTTTACTTCTTAAATGTCATGGTTTTGATCCTTTCTTTGAATTATACATTTCTAACTATGAATGTAATTATTTTATCCATAAAGATATAAAAACACTAAAAATGAATTTAAAAAAATTTGTTGCATTTGCCTTTAACTTCTGAGTACAAAAATAATCAGCAATTTTTTGCTGGCATGATGCAAATTGCTGAAAAATGTTATTTCTAAAAATTTTGTAAATTTCAGTTTTACAGTTTGTGTGAATAAAAACTTGATAATGGCTTACATTCAACCGTGCTGTGCTCTCTAGGATTTCACTGTCTGCGTGTTTAATTTATTCAACATTTTCATCAGCACTAGAAGAATCTTCAGTGTCAATGTTTCTTATTTTAAATTTTGTCCCAATATCTTCACCATTTGGACTTGCATGAATCAGTGTTATTACATGTTATCCATACTTCATTCTGAAAGAGTTCATATACCATTTTTCTCACCTAGGCATTTTTTAGTATAGACAAATCCTTGCTTTCATCTTCCTCTTTAGCAACCTTTGCAGACAAGCATACCAAAAACAATTCAGAAGATGGATTCTGTTATAAGTTGCCAAGACTTGTAGCACTAACTTCCATAAAAAATGGAATGTTATAATCAATGTGATTGTCATACTTGTACAGAATGCTTAAACCAAGCTGCTTCCTGCAATGACACGTCAAGCATCTGATCAAAGAGCATCAGACATGGATTAGGGATAAGAGAACAAATCCATTTTAAATTGACAGGTGGCAGCAATCAAGAGTAGAATAGCGAAATTGATATGGAAATTGTTAAGAAGTACTCGAGTGCAAGGACTAAAATGGCTGCAATTGTTTAAGAAAAGGATATGAAAAGTAAATCTGATTGCATTAAAACATGTCCATTCTGTCTTTTTTATGGATAGAAGCAGTAATATCGATTAAAATCTGTATCTAATTTTTGTTTCTTTTTTTTTAATCCAGTTTTAAAATGTATTTTTATCGTTTTGAAAACCTTGTGGTTGAGAAAAATCTGATTTTTCAGTGCCGTTAGTTGACAAGTATAAGATTCATTTCATTACAGTTCTTTATTAAATCAGAATCAAGTTTCTACATGAACTTGCATTTTAATGAGCGTCAATGTGAAACTGTCTTAATTTATGGCTGTACACTTGGATTGTATATATATTTTGATTAATTTCTTAAAACAGATGACATTAGGTTACATGCAATAAACTACTTACTGATATGGATGAAAACAATTTTTAAAAACTATGGCATCATCTGATATCATTGCTGTAGCCCACTCTGTTTTTCTATCCCTCTTCTGTATATTCTGTGGACACTTTTTCACACTCATGTTTTGTGGTGATATTTTTTTTCATCATTTTGTGGTAATTCTGTTATTCTATTTCTATCGCCTCACTAGTGGCTGCATGTTTAATACTTATGATATTTAAACTGCTGGTGTTTCCACTTGGATTTCACTGCATGTAAACAGGCTGGCTGCATGGTTGGTCTTCATGGATTTTCCCATGTCTAACTTGACTACAAGCCAATTTTTCTGAGGAAGTCCTTCATGAAGGCATCCCTTCCCTTAGGCAGATAGTCCTCATGTGCTTTGTCATATTCAAATAATCTGACTATCTATCTCCATTATTCTGTAACTATGTTCTTTTTGGTGGGCAAAACTCAGTTCTAACTGGCAAGGATATTTTTTTGTGATATATATGGCCTAGAATATTTTTTATACAATAATATATGGCCTAGTATATTTTTGTGATATCTGTAAGAACGTATATATACATAAATATTAAAATATATCAAAGAAATGAAGGCAATATATTAAAAATACACAAATCCAGGTGTAAAGTACCAGAAGAATTTTTACATAGACATCAAGAAAATAATTTTTGCTCATAGTAGATTTGGGAAATTTGTGCTTTCTTAGCGAATATCCTGGCTGGTCAGAGGGTTAATCTGCTGTTTGATAATCAGGAATTAACTATAATGAATAATAAAAGTTTTTGTTGCATGTGTTGTAATTATAATTTAATTACTTTTGACTATGAGGACTATCTGCCTAAGGGAAGGGATGCCTTCACGAAGGACTTCCTCGGAAAAACTGGCTCTTGTATTCAAGTTAGACATGGGAAAATCCATGAAGACCAACCATGCAGCCAGCCTGTTTGCATGTGGTGAAATCCAAGTGGAAACACCAGCAGTTTAAATATCAGAAGTATTAAACATGCAGCCACTAGTGAGATGATAGAAATAGAATAACAGAATTACCACAAAATGATGAAAAAATTAAGCTGTAATAATTAGATTGCATTTGACCCATGAACCCACTCTTGAGTTATGTAATTTTAACATATTAATTGTAAATGAAGATCTTCTCCTAAGTGCCATTATTTGCAATTAAAGCCATCAAGTGTGTACATTCCACAATAAATTAATATGGTCATTACTTTTAAAGCATAGCACTGTAGTTCAATTTAGTGCCAGTTGTGTATGACCGTGTACTTTAGAATTCCATAGTAGCGATTGCCGAAATTTCCAGCAGTGGTCAATATGTATGTGTAAATTTTACTTAAATTGTGCCAGTAACGTCTGTTATGTTAGGACAGACAAAGTTGCTCACCATCCTCAATGGCAGTAGGCATAGTGGAAGTAGTTTGCCTTGTCAATAGATATCATTCTCCTTTTTTCCCCCTATCCACATAATATTCATTGCTATATAGTTCTTTACTTTTTAAAATAACCATAGTGTGTTTTGTGGTGAAGCTGTAGATTTATTCACAAATTTTGTTATGTCCTTGCTTTATATCATTTGACCATGCTGAAATAAAAAAGACTTCATTTTCGCAAGCACTGTAATTCTCCCCATCGCAGGACAGCATCCATGCAAATAATGAAGATTCGATTAGTTACCTGTTTCCACTGTGTCGAATAGTAACATAAGCAGAATATTTCAGATGGCATCATTCCATGCTTCTTGAAGAGTATTCATTCTTTTGACAGTTTTTAGTAGTGTCTTTGTAATTTGAAATAGACTTAATGAACTTCCTACATGTGAATTTATGACGTCTTACTACAGAAGTATTACTGATGTTCCCGTATTTTTACTCATATTCGTAAAACTAAGTCAATCAGAATCAGAAATTTGATAATACTTTTATCTGCAAAAAGTGAAGTGGTTGCTTTTTGTTATGTACCTAAAAATTACCATCTTGTCTTTTGCCATTGTAATTATTTTGGGAAAATGTCTGTTTATGGATTTGGTACTATTTTCATTCATTTTTTAATAATTGTTTGAAAGACTGATAAACCATAAGAAATTAAAAATTATGTTTCGAATTATTGAATGAGAAAGAAAATGAGCAAAGTATACACTTTGTATTGCATTGTGTTTAATGGTCTTAGTAGCTTGAAGTGTAACAACTGATTGTACTTTGGGATATTGTGAAAAGCTGTACGATGACCTGCTGTATAAATGAAAGGACCAAATTTGAAAAGCTGTGGCAAAATACAAATATGGTTCAAAAATATGTGAAGGAAGTCATTGGTAAAATTACTTTAAGATATCAAATATAATTGGGGTTATATATCTTTCTCCTCTTAATGTCGTTTTCTTTTGTAGTTTATTACTCATCAGGTTTTATATTTTTTATGCATGGGCATGAAAAATATCAAAACCAAGCATTTTCCTTTTAGCTTCTGAAAAATTTTAAACTATATTGTTGCTTCTGTACAGGTTCATAATAGATTAAATGCATACAGAACCAGTGATAGCTTGATAAAATTTATTTTAGCAAAAGAAAATGGTTCTGAAAATTTCCACAAAAATACTCGTACAGCTTTTCACAATATCCCAAAGTACAATCAGTTGTTACACTTCAAGCTACTAAGACCATTAAACACAATGCAATACAAAGCGTATCTGAAAAGCGAAGCTAACAGAAATATGTCACTGCTCCAAATTCATGTTGAATTAAACAGCAACTACTGAGAAACTGATGCTGTCCCTAATCTTATATAGTTTACTCTCGGCCACAGATAAATCTGTGGTACCATTCACTTTTTGAAACTACTAGAAGGCATATGAGATGCAGATACATTTACATGTAGAATCAATTACAGTTATACAGGAACGTAACCCAAATGGTCGCAAAGTTCAGGGTCCATTTCTCGCCAAATTTGGCGATAAAAAGTAGTTGCCATTGTCAGTTTGGTGATATCTTGCCAATTTAGCAAGATAGCCATTTACTTAATGTTAAACAATAGACTTGCCCTTGTATTATTATTTTTCTGGCAGATCATCTCATTGTTCAATTATTTCATGTTAATGTTATACAAAAGATACTGGAATTATTTACATATGTACAAAATTCATAACAATATTTTCTGTTTAGTTGTTATATAAGTGATGCAAATCAATATATTTAATTGATCTTTTATTTTATGCATATTAGATAATTAAAATCAATTTCATATCTGAATCACTGTTCCCTTATAAACAATCAATGTCATGTTGTAATTAATGCTTATTATCAAGTTTAATATTGTTTTTGAAGTATAAGTGTCCAAAATAAATTAGCTATGGTCATTCACTCATTTTTATATTTTATAGAACCGCCAAACATTTAGAAGAATTGTTTTAAAGAGTGCTTTCAAAAAGAGGAAAGAATATGAAAATCTATTAAATGGAGTTCCTATGCTACAAACTTTAGAGGTTGTGGATATTTCATATGAGTTTCGTAGTTTGTGTAGTAATTATATTTATTTCTACATTCCTGTGCAAAATTAAGAGAATTTTCAAATTATATTTATTTTAATGAAAAGTATTGAAGCAAAGGTACTAATTGTGCAGATGTTCAGAGTCCAATACGTAAACATACATGTGCATATCTCTGGAACTATGATTGTTGAGTGGGTATAAGCATATGAAGGGTTATTAGGGATGTGTGTGCTCTTTCACGACATTTGCCATGTTTCCCTCAAGAGTTGGGTAAATTTTATAAGGTATCAGGTAAAATGAGTAGCCACAACGATATGGATGACTGAATGAGGTGGAGAATTGTTGGTATATTGGAAGCAGGCTAGTCACAAGCACAGATGACCACAGAGCCCAATGCAAATGTTGTCTGCACCTTATGGAAAGTTTCAGGATACTGGATCCATATTGAGAAGACCTGAAAGCTATATTGCCTGAAAGCTTCATGAGATAGGGCTGCATTCCAGAACACCCACTGCAGCACACAAGAGAATGTGTTTAGCACAATACAAACAACATGGACCTTGTACCAGACTTCAGTAGAAGGCTGTTCTTTTTACAGATGTGTCGAGATTCTGCCAGGACACAGATTCTCAATGTATATGTGTTTAAAGAGGGGCTGAAACATGATACCATACTTCCATCTTCAGGGGAAAAGATTATTACAGTGGTGGAGGTGTAATGGTTTGCACAGGCAACAGTTAGACAGTTAGACAGTTGCACAACCCTACATGTTTTTAATGAAGGCTCCCAGACTGCTATGAGGTATAGAAAGTAAAAGGGCACAGTTGGTCCTGGGTTCCTGTTGATGGACGAACACACAGTGCTCAGCTCATCTACAAATACCTGAAAAGTGAGAATATTCACTGCATGATTGGCCTACCAGACCTCTTGTCCTTAACCCTATAGTGCATGTCTGTGGCACTTTTATTTTACCATCCTTCTTCGAGAACCATTCTAGAGTTGAAAGCAACCTTGCTGCAGGAGTGTGATTGACTGTTGCAGAAGTCCTTAACTGCTTCCTGTCCAGTATGCCATCACACTCTATCTGGATGTCAGAAGAGACCATTACCCCGTATTAAACTCATTTTCAGTTCCATATCACAGAGGATTTTGGACATTCCTCTGCTAGGAGCTTTACTGATAATCATGTGTACATAAAATGTCTTTTGAATGGTATGGTAGATCACTTTGATATAAATGTATATTCATACCAAATTTCATCAAAATATGGCCATTATTTTTTTTAGAATTTCAACATAATTTGTAAATTCTGTTAATTTTGCATACATTAACTTGTCATCTAACAATAGAATAATTAGGAATTCAGTACTTCATATGCCTTTATGATGAATAGAAGTAAATTACTGACGTGGGATTTATATATCATGTTGCATATCTTTGGTGTCTTAAAATAATTTGCATGAATTTAGCTGTAAATTATGCTTTTTAGAAAAGTAAATACAATTTTATTTTCACTTGATTATTTCTTTCTCCTTTATTTCTTTATTAACTTTTTATATTAATTTGTATTACGTAGTACTGATTTTTTAAAAAATAAAAGTGTAGTGTGCTTTCATGTACATGCCATTTTCTCCTTCTGATTCTAAAGAATGGTGCTGTTGTAAAGATTGCTTGTGAGCAAACGTAAAAAGGCTGTTTGCTGTTATGTTACATTAATTGCAATTGTGCACCTGTTTTTGCTATATTTCTATGATATTTATAATACAGTATAAAGTCCAGAATCTGGACCACCAAAGTAAATATATATATAAATAAAATTAAAATACCAAAAATTTCCTCTTCCCCTCTTACAAATGAAGCAAGATTGTCTTGAATCTGACTTTTCTCCCCATTTGCTCCCCAGTTTTGAGGGGGTTAGCTTTTTTCTATCTGATTTTAAACAATAAAACAAGCCCCAGTATTGCCATGTCTGCATGTCATTTTACAAGCTTTAAACTGGTGATCTAAAATCTGGAAATTTCTTAAATCTCCAAAATACCTACAACTCTGGATCTTGAACTTTGTACTGTACTGGTATTGAAATCATTTAAAGACTGTTTTATATAGTGCCACCGAACTAAATTAAAAATGTATTCTTTGTAATTGATTTTATGAAATTCTTTTAATGTAACTTTTTATCTTTTGGGTTTATTTTCTTTAGAATTATGAGCGAATGAATTTGTGTGATGCTCTTATGCCAAAATCTTATTCTGATGGAGAACTAATAATTAAACAGGTAATAAAATTAAAGAAGTTTTAAATGTTCTTAAAACTTTTTGGCTCATTCATACTCGAGTTCTTCATCATTGAGAACCAGAATACTTGTTAGATTGAATACAGGATACATTTAGATTGCACATACTTAAATTGCAATGAGATGATGATTTGTATGTTCATCTTTGTATCTGAGCAAATTAATGGCCTTATTCCATTTGTTCATTTATAACACAGTGCAGCTGAAAAGGTTATGCATGAAACTGTAGAATTTTTATTAGTTTGTTGTTGAAAACTTCAGTTTTCAAAAATTTTTTCTAGAGTAATCTTTATATGATCATTTCCTGTATGTTATTCAATTTACGTTTTGTAGAATACATTATTGAAGATTAATAGGAGAATGTTTGAAAAATAACTTTTAATTTTGATGGAGTAATATTCTCAACATTTTATTGCTCGTTTAATGTACTTAAAACCCTTTTTTTGGGTTAGTTGGCTATGTGACTAAGATTGATCTCAACAACATAAATACAAATGTATACTGCATTATGGAGTTGTGAAAATTTTGGGGGCGAAATTAAATCGTTCATATGTGGAAAAATTCCTTTTATGAAACATATGTAATGCACAAACTTTGGCTGCTGAAATCTTTCTAAAATTTTCAGCATTATAAAAGTTGGCATGTTAACGGACCACATCTTGGATGCAAAATATCTAACTTTTCAATTTTAAATCAAATTGTATGGGTAGTCTGAGTGAAAGGGCCTTGCCAGCCAGTGCCAGCTGTATTTTGGTTGTGGTGCTGAGTACTGACACCTGGCTATCTTGATTTCCTTCAAGCTAAGTGGTTGTCTGTAAACTTACTCATATTTGTTGTTCTGTATGAAAGCATTTGCTCTGCTGCTTTTAATAATTTTTTAAATCAAAGGACAATTTTAACCAGTTTTAATTTGTAATATATGTAAATGGTAAACAAAAATCCAACAGAATTGGAAGCCTTATGTCCCATGTTTAGGGCACCAGAATTTTTTAATTAAAATGTGTTACTGACGTATGCAGACATAATAAACTGTTTGTTTGATTGGCAAGAATTCTTAGCAAAACCTAGAGAACCCATCTTGGCTGTTGTGAACTTATCAAGAATAAAAAACTTCAAGTTTTATGGGAAGAGATTTCTATTCTTGTTTCAGATGAGCAAATATTATATAAAGGGGGGGGAATTCATAAAATGTATTGGTTTTTAAGAAAAGTTTTTAAAAAGGATGGTAGACCTAGTCATTCAAAAAGAGTTGCCTCGTTTAAGCGTAGGCTGAGAAAATTTTTCGATATGTTATTTTGTTAACACAAGACCTTTAAGTTTGTGTTAAGATAAAAGTATCTGCAGCAAAAACAGGTAACTAGTCAAAGAACATTAAGTAAAATAGAGCAATCAAACAGAAAACTGAAAATTCTTGAGATGAAGTTGCTAATGGCTAAGTCAAAAAAAAAAAAAAACAAAATTCATTTGTAAGGAAGTAGGACCACAGCATGTGCAGATTCATAGCCTCCACTTCTGAACAAACCACACATTCTTCTTCATCCCCAAATACTTCAGGCAATGAAGAACCATTGAAATTTATTTCTGAGGGGGGTAAGTGTATTAGAGTACAAAAATGTCTTAACTACTTTAACAGAACTGGTGTTTCAGGTAGGTCAGCTGCTATTATTATCAGGGCTGCTTTTAAAGAGTATGAGAATTTTGAAAAAAAAAAGGGGGGGATACATCACATCACGATTATTACAAGTTTTGCTCTTCCTGACCAGATGTCATTCCCTCAAAACTGCTGAGCATGTGACATCACTTGACTAATAAACTGCTCCAATGCCCCCCAACTTTTTATTCCCCTAAATCTGCACGGATCAATTATAAAAGAACTGCATTTTTTTATGTATTGATCATGATTGTTAGGAAAGTTGCATTCCTCCTTTCCATTTGGGCTGAGCAAAAAAAAAGAAAAAAGTAAAAAACAGAAAAGCAGCCTTATTTTGGCATAGATTTTGAAATAAATTTCAACAGTAATTGGACTTAGATCTCTTGTGTTTCAGAAGTGGCAAAGAAAATTTCAGCATTCAAAAGATTGAAACGATTTTATATGGAAAGAATGAGCCGAGCAAAGTAAAAACAAATATAACATGAACAGGATTTCTTTCAACCTTTTCACATTAACAAAAATTTTTCTTCTTTAGTAAATGATATTAACTTTCTCAAAACTTTCAAATTTCTAATAGCTTAGCTTTTTCACGTTTCATTATTTTCTGCAAGAGATCACATTACATTTTTTTATGCTTTGCTCCAATCATTTTATTAATATAAAATCGTTTTGCTCTTCCGACTGCTGAAATATTTTATCCTGATTCTGAAATATACAGATCGAGACTACCAACTGCTGAACACTGGTAGTCTGATCTGATGTTTGAATCCTGATCGATTGGCCGGCTGCATGGGCACTTTCTTGACTTTCCCCATGTCTAATGTCTTTATGAGCTAGTTTCCTGTAGAATTCTCCCCCATCTCTCCCAAGGCATCTCTTCCCTTAAGCAAATAGCCCTCAAGTGCTTTGTCATAATCAAATAAACCAATCCAAAATATAGAGACCTGTGCTTGATTGCTCTTGAAATTGACTTAATTTTAAAATCCAAAGTTTCTTGAACATTAAAGTAAAAAAATATGGTACTTGTTCATAAACCTTCTTATTGGGTACCCTGGAAACAGCTGTTTTGTCAGGTAAATATGGACAGATTCTACTAAAACATTGTCACTTTATTCTTCCCTTTATGTACACGTTGTCAACTAAATGTATTTTAGGCTAAAATATCTTGTCAGCTGAATGTCCTGTTGGTTAAATGCCTGTGTCTGTTAGATGACCTGTTGGTTGTATGGCACTGTCCCTATCGGCTAAATGTCCATGTTGGTTAAATGTCATGTCAACTACATATCATAGACCTGTATTGGACACCTTTTTGCACTTATCATTAATTGTTTAAATTCTGCCATTTCTTCTTTCTCATTGAGAACAGTAGTATTCACTTTAAAAATAAAAACAGATTAAAATATTTGCGTCGAAATCAATTCATAATTTTGAGGATGTTCAGATTCTGCATTTTTATTTTCATTAAATTTTTTAAGAGATTTTCCAGTTATAAGTAATTGATCTGTTGAAAACTATAGAAATTTGTTGATCATAGGTTCAACCATTGCTGGGAATTTAAAATGAGAATTAAAAAAAAAAAATTGAAGAGGCTTTTTAGAAATTCCTGATTAAATCAGTGATTTAAGAGACAAGTAATGACAGTGTCAAACTTTGTAAAGCTGTTTAAATTGATGAAAAGAAACTGCTCCATGCATAAGTTAGGGAGAAAAAATTGGGGATGGGCATTTCACTGTATTATATGTAATTACATTGTTTTAAGAATTACAAACTTCCAGCTTTATGTTCGTACGTGATTAATGTCTGTCTTGGCAATGATGATTTTTTCAGACTTTAATTGAAGGTTTTTTTCTTTGTACACTTGTACTTCACAAGTGAACAATCGAGGAAATGTGCTGTTTAATATTAACTGTGAATGCACTTTTTAATGGTTTAAATCCGGCATAACCTGTACATTGATTGTGGCTGTTGGGTAATATTTTTGTGCAAATTATATTGTTGCAACCATTTACATATTATATTTTCTTGCTGCTTATTCCCAGCAATCTTGCAGCATAGGCCTCCTCCATGGCTCTTGTATGTGTCCATGCTAGAACAAGTTTTTTTTGCCTGTGTAAGAAAAGGTATGATTTATGAAAATTGTTCAGTGATGTCAAACACACTGCAGAAGCACAATCATGGTTTCATTATATATGCAGCATAGTCCCTTTTCTCCAGCTTCATCATCAGTTAGCCCAAGAAGCTTAAATGCATTAAATTCCACAAATTTTTTATATGTACTAAATCCACAAAAGCCCTTTCTCAGCCTGTATTTTCAGAACTAGTAGTCATACATACATACTTCCAGTTATATAAATGTTTTAAATTGTGCAAATTTTCACATTTCGACATTTTTTTAATTTTAAAACATCAATTTTATAAAAATTGTAAAATCTTTTTATATGTTACTCCAGCTCATATATTTAAATTAATGAAATTTTAATACTCATTATGAAACTAGAATGCAAAGACTTTCAGTTCCACCTGATGAAAACTGACCCAGATATTACGAACCCATTCCTTCTAAAACTACTTCCAAAATTTTCCATTAATTGAATTTCGTAACATCTGTCTGTCAGATGCATCTTTTTCAGGAAACACTTCTGCATCAAATGTCTGTATTAAAAAAAAAAAAAAAAAAAAAAAAAAAAAAAAAAAAAAAAACAGAGATTATTGTAGTAGCTTCTAATTTTAATAAGTATTACTTTTAAGTTGCTGAAACCTTTTGACATATTGTATCTTATTTGGCTATTGATTTTTGATATGCTGGTTTAGTTATTTGCCTGAAAAATTACACTTAACATTTATAAATAATGTTCTGTATACATAAGTAGAGAGAGAGAGAGAAAAAAAAAAAGAATGTGGCTTTGTTTCTATATTATACTTAATGCTGTATCTTTACAGATATCTTTTCTAATAATGTATGAATTTCTGTAGGGTGATGAAGCTGATGGCATGTATTTCATTGAGGATGGAAGTGTAAAGATTACTATGATTAAAGAAGTATGTTAACATTTTAGTGTTTATTTGTATACTTATATCCATTTACTAAAAGGAAATTATTCTTTGGGGTTGTGATTTTCAACATAAAGAAATTTTGTTTCCATATATTTAAAATAAAATGTATGAAAGAAAATGCTTTACTATGTGTACAGAATGCTATTTTTATGCTTTTCCATTTCTAAACAATCAATTTTATAATTAATATTTCAGTTTTAATTGGCATAAATTTGAAGATCATTGGTCTGTGTTTAATAATGTGTAGTTACCTTTTGTAACTTAGTATAAGTAACTTATTCCTCCTTAATTATTTCTATCTCTCTTTTAATTTCTGTGCTGCAAAATGTCTACCTCATATCTGTGTACACTACTTTTTTGTGTCTTGGATAATTGCCCAATTTTTGCAAAAACTGCTGAAAGTTGTGCATCAGTTCATAGCATAAGATGGCTTGATTCTGCTTTGAAGTTTTCTTTCAAAAAGGCCTAGAATAGTTTGTTTTTGATAGTTTTATGCAGTTATTGCCTTCATGTACTCTGATTCAAGTTACTTGTTTGTGTGAATTTATTGATGAGATGTATTAAAACGATTGGTACATGGTTTTATAAGTTCAGTTTTGAGTTTAAAATCTTTTAAGTATAGTAATATACTAAATAACGGCAAAAGTTAAAACTTATTTTGTACTGATATTTGCTCCTCCTGAATCTCTGAGGTAGAAGTACAGAATGTTTCAAAACGAATATACGTATTACAAAGTGTTATTTTGTCTTAATTATAGATCACTGCGCCTTGGCTGGGCTATTGGCGAAACAAATACATAATCTAGCTTATATTAATAATCACTAGATGTCAGTTGTCTTCTGTTTTGCATGGCAACCGTCACATGTTTAAAATGGCTAATCCGCAGCAGAAATCATTTTGTGTTCTCGAGTTTGCGAAGTGCAATTCTGTAATTAAAGTGCAATGGCCTTTCAAGTTGAGGTACCAAAGTGATCCTCCGAATGGGTGGAACATTCACAGATAGCATTGAAAGTTTGTAAATACAGGATGTGTATGTAATTGAAAGAGTCCTGGCCACCTTCATGTTCCCGATGAAAATGTTGCACGAATTCAAACTGCTTTCCAACATAGTTTTTCAAAATCAACTTGGTGTGCCAGTTGGGAGTTACAACTGCCTACAACAACAATTTGCCGTGTTTTGAGATGCCGGTTTTTTGTGAATCCATACAAGTTACATTTGTTACAGGCTCTGCGTCCAAATGCATGACAAATGCAAACGTGTGGCATTTTGTAATGAGATTATTGATGCTATTGACAATGATAACACTTTCGCACAATGCCTCGTGTTCAGTGATGAAGCTACTTTTCATGTTAGTGGTCATGTAAACAAACACAATGTTCGAATTTGGGGCTTATATAACCCAGATGCAGCCATTGAACATGTACAAATTCGCACAAAATCAATGGTGCGATATCCCGATCATATGTTTAGGGCCCATTCTTCTTTGATGGAAACACGGTTAACGGTCAGCAGTATCTCGCTATGTTACAAAGCTGGTTGTTTTCGAGGTTGCACGAAGACAACTTCGTTTTTCATTAGGACACTCCCCCCCCAGCCCCGTCACTGGTGTCACCAAGCACGCGATTATCTGAATGAAACAGTACTGAACCGTTGGATTGATGATCAAGGAGCTGACGACTTGGTCACCGTATATGACACCTTGTGACATCTTCCTGTGGGGTTTCATTAACCCTCTGAGCATTACTGGTTTAGCCCTAAAATTTCAAAGTTCCTCAAAATGTCATGAATAAATGTTATTTTCTTGATTTTAATTTCAAAATGACTCTTTCATTTGTACCTTGATTCCTTTTCTTCCAATGTACAACCAAACTGAAATCAGATACATTAAAAGCTAGCAGAAATTTCCATGTATAATGAATGTGGAAGGCAACCTTCTGTACGGAATTTTCCGGCCATAACGCTGAGAGGGTTAAAGACAACATTTATGTACCACCACTTTCACAGAACCTAGAATAGGTGAAGAACCGGATCCGTACTGTCATGAGTGACGACGTGGACATGCTTGCCCAAGTATGAGAGGAATTTGAGTACCGATGTGATATTGTTCGTGTCGCTGATGGAGGACATATTGAACATCTGTAATCTGAACTTGAGAGTTCTGTACGTATGTGTGTAAAGTTTCATATTCGTATGTCATACAGTTTAATAAATATATATGCATTCAAAATGCATATATTCTTTTTGAAACATGCTTTTTGTTCCCAATTATATGGGGGGTGAATTAACTGCATCCTGTTTTATTGCAGAACAATGGGAAAAACTTCCGTGTGAAATGAAACTGTTTACAGAAGAGAAAAATGTGAGCTTACAGCAGATCATGTCATAGTATTTGGAAGTTGTATTTTATCCATATCTATGCATAGTTTAATTGTACATAATCCAAAGTGCATAAGCATTGTTAAGTCATGTGATAAAAGTAAATTATTGAATCATAAAAATAAATCAAGAGCTCAGCCATAAATTAACCTTGTTTCATGTTTACTGTTGAAATGGAAGGCTAATATAACCAACACAAACAGCATCTGCACTTGTAAAGTGTGGAAGAAATTTAGAGAGGGACAGGAAGAAGCAGATAGGGAAAGAGTGTACTCTGTGTGCTCAAAAGAGAACTTTGTTTACTGATTTGATTTACTTAATAAAACTTTTTCTTTACATTCAATTGCATGAAAATGCAATTAAATTTTTTCAATCAATTATAAGATCTATTATCTTTTTTCTTTTTTTTTAAGTGTTCCAGGATTGAGTTAATTGTGGATGTGATCCATGGTATTACCTTAATAAATTGCTGTTTAATTGTAGTAAGTGTCACCTGTGCTGAGAGTCTCGCTCATATTCATACAAGAAATTGAAAGGTGAAGCTACTATTAATTGTGGCTCTAAGACAAAAGCAAAATGCATATTAGGAGGGGGGGAAACTGTTGTATGCCATCCGAGGATTTATTTGTACATTGGTATAGGTATCATACTTATGTCATAGGTGTCATATCACATTCACATGAAATAAAGTTTTCGAGATTAATGTCTGTCAAGGAAGTGGACAAGCTCAAACATGCTGATTTTGCCTAAACTCAGCGTAATTACAGATCTTAAAGTTAATCTATTAGCAGAGATACAATGTCCATCTTGCAGTAAAAAACAAAAAAAAAAAATCTGATTTAATTTCATTATTATCTGTAATCCTTGAGATTGTGCTTGGTAATGTGTAGTGCTATAAACATCAAGTACTACGTTTTAATCCAGCTGGTAACAGTACTTATTTCTCTTTAAGATTAATTCTTTTAATATTATTTTATTTTGAAATAACATGTATTTGTGAACGGACTTTTTTTATGGAGTAACGTGGGAAAATGAAATAATGATAAATTGAGTCATTTGTAGTCTTTCCAAGACTATGTATGTAATGCAAAAATTTTCCGATTATGCTAATTACATAGTTTTATCAAGCATGTCTGCCTCCAAATTTAGCATAAGATTTTTTGTTGTTCTTGTTGTCACCTTGTGATCATTTGCCTCCTTCAAATTTGATTCCCTTTCTATTTCAATCTTTAAGCATTTCAGCTTCGTAATTTATTTATTATTATTATATTCTGCTTATTCTTGATTTTTGCCTTGGAGTGTGCAGCTGATAAAGACTTATGTAAGTCTCAGAAAAACCCAAGATACATACATTATGTATATTTTCTAATTAAAAAAACTGGAAAAATGCATGAGTGATCTAAAATTCTGGAATATACATTAGGGAGGTGTTTGTTAAGATTAAGCCATCAATTTAAGAGTCATATATTATGTTCAGCAGTATTTTCCAAACAGTGCAACTATATTTTTAATCTATGACAAATAAATAATTGTAATTCTTGAGTTGTGTAGACAATACTAAGGCAGCTTGTCACAAGGAATTTTGTAGATAAGTTTCAAGGATATTTTTTTCAATTGTATCAAAGAAAGCATGCTTGTGTTATGGGTTCAGGGGCAGACAAACCCTTGAACACTGAAATGATTGCTAAAGTGTGCATACCTCTTGATATTTTAAAGGAAAGTTGTTAAAAAATTTTAATTATTTAAACTGTCATTTACTTAGCAAAACAAACATTGTTTTTGATGTTTTGAAAAATTTTATTAATATTGAGTAAGTTTATAGAAAAGTTAGAAAAACTAAATATTTTTTCTTTCATTTTTTAATCACAGGCATTTTCAAGTCGTTTTCTTCTTTATTCCCTTGAAACTACTTTTGTGAACAAATTTCCTTTCAAAATAAAATAGAATTATTAATACTGGTAAAAGTGGTGCTGCCTGCAGGGAGTTTCAAAGTGAGAAATTTTCTTTAAGTTAAAAACAGCAGTATCACGAATTACGGCTTATAGAGAAGAACTTAATTATATAAATATTTCATCAAACATTTGTTTTCTCTCTCTCTCTTTTTTTTTTTTTTTTTTTTTTTAATTTTTTTATGGAAAGTATGCTTTGGGCATATTTAGATTAATTATGCAGAGTTTGAACAAATACGTTAAGTTTTGCAATTACCCATCTTCTAAAGCATAGCCAATCATGGAAAGGTAATGTCATGCAGACTTTTTTTTAATGCAGATCTGTTGTGTTTTCTGTGTGAATTTAAATTTACATTTTTAATCTTTGTGCTTATTTGACTTATTTCCAGAGAAAAGAGGCCATTCCCACAGAAGTGTAGTTTCATTTTTTGCATGATGTGAAAGACATAAAAATTTTGATGTTTTCATATTAAAAGGGACAAAATCCTTATGCAACAACTAAATCTTTTAGTGTGCGAAATATCACTGATTAGTATACCAATATCACATCTACAGATGTCTTTAGAACTAGCCTAATGTTGAGCATTATGGTGAAAGCATTGTTTCCACTTATCTGGAAATTCAGGGGAACTAAAAGCTTTTTCAAAAACTCGGGCAAATGAAAATTAATCTTTTCAAATAATTGAATGTTTGTATTTTCAATAGTAATTTTAAACAAAAATTGCCCTTAAAAAAAAAGAGCAAAGTCATTGTAATGTCTGTCTCTTATAAGAATCATTTTATGCATATGTTATTTGCCCACCAGCGGCCGAGCGGTAAAGTCACTGAACACCGGTAGTTCAGTCCGAGGTTCAAATCCTGTGAACGGGCTGGCTGCATGAACATTTTTGTGGTTTTCCCCATGTGTAACGTGTATACGAGCCAGTTTCCCTTAGAAAGTCCTCCATGAAGGCATCTCTCCCTCCCTTAAGGCAGATAGCCCTCGAGTGCTTTGCCGTAATATAATAAAAACCAAAAAAAAACATGTTATTTATAATTTTATTGATCCACAGTTGTTCACACTCTTTAGAAACTTATCTGTTCTGTCTTCCCTATTTACAAATTACAGTTATCCTAGTAGTATAATGTAGAAGTAACCACATTGTATGGTTGTATGTTTAGTAATAAAACTATTTCTTTGGGTATTAATTCTTAGCTTCAGAGTTTTACTTTTAAGCATAGTAGAATGTTTTTTTGAATGATGTACTGTTATAAATTTCTTTTCAGAATAAATAGTCTAGATCTTGTAATACTTATTTTTAGAAGCCTGACCATTTTTTCTTTAAAGATTTAGTTGTGGGTTTTCTGCTTATAGTACTTTCATTTTCTTCACAATAACAAGCAAGGTGAATTGGATTTCGTTCATATTTTTCACCAAATACATCATAATGGTATAGTTATTTGTGTTTAATCGGGAAATTTATTCAGCTTTGTCATGGAAAAATCAAGAAAAGTCATGAAAATTAGAAGTTGAATTTATTTGAGAATGCTGGAATAATTACTTTCAGTTTAAAAAAAAATGGAATGTTTAGAAAGAAGAAAAAGTATACCTATATTCAGCATTCGTGATAAACAGCTATTCTGCTCATAAAATCTGTGGAACAGGAAATTGAATTGCAAGCTAACCTGTATGTAATAATATCATTTACACATCTTATTTAAAAGTATTAATGTTATTTATGAAGTAATTATTCTTTGTGATAGAAAAGATACCAGTTGTGTGCTTTGTCATAATATAATAAATATATATTATATAATTATAAAATATAATTATATAATTTAATAAATCTAAACTTTTCATGATAAAGACACGGCTTTTTTATGTAAGGATTCAAAAATTTTTATGGGCTTTTATTATTTTCTTTTTATTACAGACTGATGATAATAAAGAAGTTGAAATGGAAGTGACAACTTTAACAAAAGGTCAATATTTTGGAGGTAAGGATATAAATTTTTTATGGGTTTACATTACCAACAATCCAAAAATTACAGTCAACAGTAGTAATTTTTTGCAAGGCTTGTTTGTTAAAAATGAACATTTATTGAAAGGACGTCACAGAGCATTGCTTGAAATTTTGGTTTTCCTTTTTTGCACCATTTTATTGCCATTGGTTTTCAAATGCATCTTTGAAGAATAAATACTCGTGCATATTGAGAGGTCTGTTGTAAATAGAGCAAACAGAAAGTAGTATATCTAAAGGGAAACAGCAAAAGATGTGACAAACTCTATCTTTTTAAATATTTAAAAATCACTCGTTGAAAGGGTGAAAGTTAGTTTCTTGCAAAAGGAGCAATTCTAAAAATTCAATATTTAAGTTATGAGTAATAAAAGATATTGCCTTTCTTACATTTTTAACTAACTAAAGGTAAAAATTAAAATGTCTTCCAATCTCAGTAGCCACATTTGTAGTGTTCATAATCCTCATGTGGTTAATGGTGACTGTAGTGGAGAGCAAGCTGTACAAAAAAGCATCTTTGCTTCTATTTAATATAACTTCTTATTGATATCTTAATTTAAAATTTATTTTTTAATTACAGAAGCCTGTTAAAAAATGAATGTGTATGACTTGTAAGAAATGTATAATGTATCATATTTTTTAAACTGTTGTTGAGCTATAACTATAATTTTTATATATGTCTGTTTTAAATATCTAAGATTGTTGTTGTTATTTTAGAATTAGCACTGGTTACTCAAAAACCTCGTGCAGCATCAGCCTATGCAGTTGGGAATGTAAAGTTGGCTTGTGAGTGTTTTTAATTGTTTCATTGTATGTGTGTATGTAAATTCAAATAGAATTTTTTTTATTTATGATTACTTTCTAAGAAATGAAGAATAAAAATTATTGTAAATTGAAAGTATTCAAATTAAAGTTAATTCTTAAGAAAATTTTGGATAAAACTAATAAAAACATGTAATAGACTTTGAAAAAGTTTTAAATTATAATGTAAGTCATCGAAAACTCTTAAATGTAAAAATATAATTCACAATAAAATTAGATGAGAGATAATTATTGTTGGTCTTGTGGAAAGAGGCTGACTTTTCAAAGGGAATTAATCTTGTTCCATAATATCTGCAATAATTGAAGAATGATCATGTTTCATCCTTTGAAGCTGTACATTTTTTGCTTCAAAAACATCTGACAAAAATTGTATGTCAAAAGGACCAAAGTAAGCAAATTTCATGATGAAATGTGTGCGCAAGCGGTATGCAGAAATGGTCTTCTGGTATAAATCATTGTTCCACCATACAGATTTTGAGTGCTATGCATTGTGCCATGAACTTGGAGCATTCTTATCTGCATTTTACGTGTCGTTGTGAATAGAAATGGAGCAGCTGCTCAAAGGAAATTGTTCTTGCTATTTTCTGTTTCTATGACATTCAGCCAGAAGATATTATAATTTTTAAATTTTGATTTATATGTTTAAATCCAAAATAATTGATTTATATAGCAGCCAAAAAGGAGCCTAACACCCTCACACTTACCATTTGGATTTTCTTAGTCTAGAGCTTATCAGTGGGCTTCTTTCAAAGCTTTTAGTTTTTTTTTTATCACTGTCAGTCAGTGGCAGCACAATCCAAATTCAAATCTTAGAGAGCAACCCCCGCCCCCCTCTGGCTCCGATGTTATCCCAATGTGGAATGAGCAGTAGGTCTCTTGTGATGTCCATTTCCAGGGATGTATTTCTTATCTTCAAATTATAGGACTGTAATTGAATATAGTACACCTAGTAAGTCTACCTATAGGTGACTTATGCTTAAAATCCATTTTAAGTGTTGATAATTAGATACCAGAGTAATCTCTTGACCATCATTCTAGCCACAAAATTTATTCAAGGCCTGTACAACAATATATAAGGGCTTTTTGCTTTGTTGTAGAGTAATTTCTGTGGATGGCTGACAACAAATGGCTAGCATATTGTATTGGATGTACTTATGAACCTCTTCCTTGTAATAAGCATAGTTACTAGCATTTGTCTGAATAAGCTTTGTTGCATCATTTTGCTTTAAGATGCGAGGTACTAACAAAAAATCTCTTTAATGCCTCATTTTTAAGAATTTTCTTAATTTCTTCTTTTTAAATAATTTTCTTCCTCTGGTCCCTATGTCTAGCTTACATTCTTCCAAGTTTACTTTAGTAGTCTAACTGTTTCTGAAAATTTCGGTATGAATCTTCTATACCAGAAACAGATCTTAAAGAAAGACTGCACATGTTTTAAATTTCTTGGAGCAGACATCTGTATAGCAGAGGTTTTTTTCCTAGATCAAACTCTACTCCTTCACCAGTGACTGATATTTCACTTTACTACAACCCAAACTGCATTTCTCATGATTTGCATTAAATTTTAATTGAAAACGTTTCTGAAAATTGCTTCTAAATCAGCTACATGCTTTTCAAAAGTTTCAGACAGTATTATGATATCATGTAAGTAAGAGAGAAGCACCATATTTTTTATGCTGTTTCAGAATTTATCTCTTAATCTAAAAAAATGGCTGGAGCAGTTTTCAGTCTGAAAAGTATTCGAACAAACTGGAAAGTTCCAGGACAAACAAATGCTGTTTTTTCTCTGTTGATGGGAAATGCTGATTTGGCCAAAGACTGAAAATCAGTAGTTGTCATATATGGTATATATTTAACAGCATGCAGTAAATCATCTGTCCTAGGGTATAAATGACTGTTTGAACTTCCTGTACTGCCATTAGAGGCTTAACAGGGCTTAGTGGTGCTATTTAAATAAAGAAACTTTGCAATCTAAAACAAGGCCTAAGTCAGGCCCATAAGCAGCAGAACAACCACTATACTACCTGAAATAACTTTAAATAGAATTAACAACTAAAATATGAACTTAAAGTCTAGAAGCTGGTGAGATTTACCAGCTACCAACAAATAACACATTATTACGTGCTTTGTAAAACAAAATATAATGCATGTTACTTACATGCATTATATTTGTTATGTTACTTACATGCATAAAATATGTTGCTAACAGGATATCATAAACAACTTAAATTTTCTTAAATCAGGCAGAGAAATTTTTAAACACAATAAATATATAAATTTGTTTCATATACAGATACATATTTTATGAAATTTGACAATTTCAAATTGGTCACACTACTTTTACATAGATCTTTTAGAGTATTAAATTTAGCAATATCTGGAATAAATCTTGGAACAATATTTTTCATAGAATATCTAACTAACAGGTGCTCAAGATCAACATTACTCATGCCACAAGGACAGGCACGATTTTAATCGAAAACCTATTAAAATAAAATGGAAAATGACCAAGATACTAATAATTGAGATTAAATGATATGTGAATCTTCCTTTGGATTCTGGGTCTAAGCCACTTTGCTTGCCAAACTTTTTCTTTTCAACAAAGATTTCAGACTGTCAAAGGAAATCTTTACTTCAAAATCAATACTTTGATTTTTAGTGGCAGCCTTTTCCAGTCTATCTGCTAACTCGTTACCGATAGTCCCAATATGACTCTTTGTCCAAAAGAGTTTAATATCTCTGAAAGTGCTAAGAAAAATGAGCCTATCTGTTATCTGTTTAATTAAATCGTTACTTTGACAAATATTCGTGATTGAAACAATTGCGCTTTCGCAGTCTCTATAAATTTCTACAGGATCTAGCATAGAATTAGAAATAAGCCAATATAAGGCCTCTCGTAGAGCCACTAACTGTGTCTGGTAGACAAAGGTATTGTCAGAAAGTCTATATTTCCTTTGTATGCATAGTTTCTCGTGTGAGAACATGCAAAAGGCTGTCCCCACATGACCATTTAATTTTAATACTGTAAAAACAGAATAGCCTGTCATATTAGGGAGGCCTTTATGCCAATCCAACCATTTCAATAAAGCTGGATGAATGTCTAATCCTCTCTCAAAGTCAAAATCTCTAGCTGAGAAGACCTCACTGAAGCAATAGACAGTTATAGCATATTCTTTTTTTGCTAAAATATTGATTGGAAGACATTCAGACAAAATCTGAAAAGCTACTGTGGAAACAGTTCTAAAGCACTTAATAAAGTGATTTTTTTGAATTTGCAAAATTTTGTTACGCATTCGGACCGATCCAGTCCACCATGCACTACGTGCATACAAGATCTTTCTCTCTATAGCTCTTTTATGTAAACTCTTAAGAACTTTACCTTGGAGATTCATTTTACTAAGTCTATTAAGAATGTGAGTGCATTCAATCTGTATTTGATCTGGGTGAGGTATAAAAATGAACTTTTCATCAATCGCTGATAATCCCAAGCATCATCATCAGATTTATTTGCAGTAAGTTATGCAACATCAGTGGGCAGAAGACCAACAAGAAACGCTACTCACTTTGGCATTGGTACCTTCAGAAGAGTTAATTGCCTCTCAAGCAAGACCAGAAATAAACTTATATCAGCTTTCTTAGGATCAAAATTAGAACTAAGTTGTTTAGTTATAACTTAGGCATTTCTGCGTATGCAGAAGATACCGTTGTAGATTTTGCTCTGCTATCAATAATACTAGATTGTAAATTTAATTTCTCCATTTCAAACAACTGTTCGTTATCTTGTCTTACTCAGTATGCTGTTCTATTTCCATTTCTTGCCTATCATCTGTGATGCGATTCAAACATTCTTTTGTAAACTCCTCATTATATGTGGGACTAGTGATTATAGCATTACTTATTTTAGAAATTCTAAAATTTTCCTCTATTACTACACCTAGTTGCTCCGCTAATTCATTTAAATCTTTTTTCTTCCCTTTTCCTAAATAAGCCACGTTTAAATGAAAGTTCATAAATTTCCTCAAAATGTACATCTAAAACATTTAATATGCCAACATATATGTGGTTTAAAATATTTTTGTATGGATTTAGTACACATCAAACTTACGTAATCAGAAGCAAAGCATAAAATGGAATAATAACTCATTTTACATCACTTTCTATTATTTTCTGAAATAACATAAAATACTCTTCTCTGACCATAAACTGTGACAGAATACTTTCAGTAATTTGCATTAGTTCAAATAGTAACTAGAGACTATATATTTCAATACCTTTTCTGTTGTTCAGTGTTCAAAACAAAACTAAGAATTGTTTATGTACTTATTATATTTGACATTTATTTTCACTGCTTCATATCAAAATTTGCATAGAACAAAATACTTGAACTTTGTATGAAATACTCATTCAAATACAGTGGTGCACTATTTATACTTCTTTTAAGGTTTCAAGGGACCATTCACAAATGACATGCTAATGAAATCTTAGTTTATGGTGTGAAACATTATTATTATTTATTAGTTAACGTTTTTGATACTACTAACCTACCACTAATATTATACAATTTTTATCCTCTTTTAAATTTGTTTAAAATACACTCAAAGGAATAAAAATATTTTCTTTTAAGCATAACATAAAAAGAATTACAAGCATAATATTTACAGCTCAGTGATGATTACATAATATTATAACCATGATGCCTGTGAAGATAACTACACAGTCGTTTTTTCTCACTGTTCGCCAATGGTGGCACAATCCAAATTCAGATCTGGGGGGGGAGGAGAGCAAAGTCCCTCTGGTGAGTTAAAATGAGAGGAGAAAAGTTATACAATTTTTTATTTGTTACATAATTAAGTTTATAAATATATGTATTTGTAAAGTGCTTTAGTCAATACTGATGTGAAATTCTGAAGTGCCAAGAATTATCTGTGCCAGTTAATGTTTTATTTCTGCAAAATGTAAAGTTGGAATTTCCTTTATCTTATTCATTAAAAATAATTTATATGTATGTGTGTATGAATGTATGCATTTATATATATGTATATACAATCACTATACTCTTATTTCTTTCTAGTTCTTGATGTTGCTGCTTTTGAACGCTTATTAGGACCCTGCATGGCTATAATGAGTCGTAATGTTGATCATTATCGACAACAAGTTGTTGAGTTATTTGGCTCAGAAGCAAATATTAGTGATTTACGATGATCTAACTATCCACTTGTTCTCATCTATAAGCATTTGATTGGACATATTACTGTGCTTCAAATCATATCTGAGGTCAATTTATGTACCTCCCAAATATGTCACATTTATGTTAATCTAGTCTGATTTCTCTGTAACAATATAGAACAGTAATATTGTATGTTGATGATGAAGTTATGTAGTTTATTTATACATTCTAGAATTTCTTTCTAGTCTGTTTACACTATAATCAGGAAAATTTAGTTCTTTATAAAAGATATATAGTAGCATTTTCACATGTATTAAAAAGATGTGTATATATGAATCGTGTAATAAACTGTTCTTACATTAATTGTAACAAATGTATCTGACAGTATAATGTAAAAGTTTTGTGTATTGATTGTAACCCGAGTGCAATATCAGTTCTAAACTAAAATGAGAAAATAATACTTGTATCCACAGTCATATTTTAAGGGAGTTGAAGCTGTTTTTATATTGCAAATGTATGTAATAATAATTTTTAGATTCAAAAAATTGTCTTTACCTACATTATTGTTATTCAGTGAGTAATGTAATATGGTTTACACATAGCTGTGTTTTGATTTATTACAGGTATTTTTATTCTAGGATGATGAATTCATATGTGATGGATGCCCTTGATTTTCATTATTTTAAATGAGAAATTCATAGTGAATTTGATAAAGTAGCTTTAAGTTATTGTGATTTTGTAAAACTCATAGTTATTAAATGTATATACATAGTGTTTTGTTATTTCTTGAAATTAAAAACGTATGAACTGAATCTTAATAGTGTTTTATTTTAATATACAAAATATTACTGTAACATTTTACTTTGCTTTGTGCAAGAATGGATTTTTTTAAATTTTATTTTTCTGGCATAGTTGTCTTCCATATCATTAAATTGAAGAGCTATTTGGCTACTGTAAATATTTTTATAAAGATCCTGATTTAGAGTTTCTTTCTTAACTTAATCATTATAATTATTATTTGTTACTTGTTCTCTTGTATGTTTTGTTCTCATAATTCCTCATTGCCTTCAGTGCTGTATTATGAAGGCAACGTAATGTATGATTGCTTTTTTACTGTCCATAGTTCATTACAATAAATAAAAAGTGCTAAGTCTGCTCTTACAAAGCATGGTATGCTCAAATATCTGAGTTTACGTTCAGATTTAGATACTAATTTTAAAATCCTGCTTTTCATAACAAATGCTGAATTCAGTTTTTTTTTTTTTTTTTTTTTTTTTTGTTGTTGTCTTTCAGAAGTGTGCACGTTTAGTATACGGGAAACAATATTCAAAAGTGATTTTACCTAATGTGATTATTTGTATTGCATTTTCATAGTTGGAGTAGAAATTAAAGTTGCACGATCTTAATATGCTAGTGTTTATAGGTAGTCTATTTCCAGTTTAATTACATACATGCTGTTTTGATTTCATATTATCAGTCTTCTGCATTATTTAGTTTTGTGGTAACATCTGCATTTTGTTAAAATTATGTTGCTGAATCGGCATGAGGTCATAAATTTCCGTTATCTTTTAAAGGAGGTGAGCATTTAGACTGTTAATGTTTCCTAGGTGCAAATAAACTTTTGTTTTATTGAGTGTTAAATGGATTGTGTTTTTATTTCTTAATTTTTTTTAATAACAGGAATGTAGTTGAGTGCAGTAACTGTACTCGTATAGGATTTCAAAAGTTTTATTTTTTGCCCCTCTTTTTATTTTATTTGTATTCTGTAGCTTACAGAAATTCTATGTGTTAATTTTTAGGGAATAGCTATTTCTTTTCTGAGTGGAAATTTGCATACCATTTGTTTTTATTAGATATTGCTTTGAATTTTAATCTTTAATCATTTTCTGTTGTTCATTAATGATTGTTATTCATATCCATGTGTATATTTGTTCATTTATATATCATATATATAATATGTAACTATAGTACTCTTCTTCTGTAAAATATAACGTTATAGTTTCTCTAATGATTTCTGTAATTAATATTTATTTCTTTGGAAAACTGCCTTTATGCTTGAAATGCGTCCTTAAATGTGAAAGGGTAACTTTCTTAAAAAGCAAGAAAAGGTGAAGAAAATTAGTTTGTATTTCTTTGAAGAGTATTTTTAAAGCATGTTAAAGAAAATAACCATTTATATCACAGAGTAAGAATATCTATTTAATATTTTTATGAAATGTTGTATTTATAGAAATGCACTGAAAATCAAAACGTTTCAGCTCTTCAACTGTAAAGATTTTTACATAAATTTATTTTATAGTTTACGTAAGTTAAATTGTTGCTGGTTATTATTTAAAAAATTTTCTGCATCATATCTAGATACATAAATCTTTAGAAATTTCCTCATGATTCTTAACAAAAATTAAACATTGTTTTCTTGTTTATTTGATATTTTATGTTCCGCAGAAGTAAAATGTGTTTAGAAAGTTTTTGCAGTGTTGTTTGTGTGCGAGTGATATAACAAACTAGAAACAGGTGATAAATTAATAATGACTCAAAAATATTTTTCATGGACTATCGTAAATAGTGTAAGCAAAATTCTGCGCTTTAAGAGAATTAATGTTTTATACTTCATCTGTACCCAGTCCCATCAACAGTCAGACTAGGAGGCTTGAATATACTATTTTTTTTTAATTTCATTTGTATATATATAGTAATAAATTTTGATTCTAAAAGTCAAATATTAAAGCAAACAAGTTGGGTTGCAATTTTGTAAGTTTAATAAAAAATGTACATTGCCTCTTTATTAAACATGGAATGCGTCTATAACTTTATGGTATGCTAATGTGTGTAATAATCTGTGTGTGTTTTTCTTTGTAACTTTTCTTTTGGTAAGGATTATAAACTAATGCAATTAAAATATACCTTATATGCTGGAAAATTAAAACCAGATTGTGTTACAAAATTTAAATGAGAATACTAAATGTTATAAAAGAATTACTGTTTTAGCGTCCTGAAATTCTTAATTTTCTTTTAGTAATATTATATTACTTTGATATTGCAATTTGACAAGTTAATTTTAAATAACCAGCAAAACATTAAAATGCTAATAGAAGTATCTTGCTGAAAGTATTGGAACAGTTGATAAAGTTAAGCCATTTAGTGACACTTGAACATTTAATGGACCTAACTAGAATGATGGTCAACCTTTTGCTGTTTTCTCAGTCTTTACTTGTTGTGGAAGACATTATACAAGTTTCTAAAAGATTATACCTGGGCTATTCAGGTTCTATGCCCATCTCATTCAACCATTCAGCTACCTTGATTTATAAAGGTTTATCTCTGCAATTTTCTGAATTTAGCTGGAATTTTGCACTGTGTCTGCTTTAAAGCAGCTGATTTGAGTGAAGACAGGTTTGTAGTTGCTATTGTAATGCATGTTCTGTGAGATTCAGTTTCAAACTTTGTGTAAATTTGCAAAGTTTTTTTCCATATCCCTTAGCAAACTGCATAATTACGAGCATTAATTTTTCAATGGGAGCACTGATATATTAATAAGCATGTGGAGCCATGCTGAACAGATCTCACAACATAGCATAGAATTATCAGGAATGGCCAGGTAAACATGGAATCTTTAATCTGTTGACAAAAGTCAAGAGAACTATCCATTCAAAAAAAAAAAAAAAAAAATAGAGCCACAAAATAAACAGTTTCATAGTCTGCACAATACAATAGCTCAGATAGCATCTGCTTGACACTTCCCACGCATATAATGTGACCATTAGATTTCTAAAATATGTAACAATATTCATCACCATATGCAATTTTTTTTTCCTTACCCCATAGTTCAATGGCAAAGCATTCTATATGGAAGCTTCGGCTTACCCATGGTAATCCTTAAAGTTCAATTAACATTGTGAAGTTTTCACACACAACAGGATTTGCTGCTGATGCTGTTAGTAAATAAACAGACTTTTCTGAGAGAATCTCTGCAGTACTTGCTGGCACATGTCTGAGAGTTTATGAAAACTATCATTGGCTACCTTGAATATTGTTTCATCCTGTTCTTGCTTTATTATGACATAACACTGAACTGGGTGAGTTTAAACTGGTCCAAAATCTCATGAATGTATCCAGTCTATTAATTAATGGCATCTGCTGACGGTGCCTTATGCAGGGTCACTGAGTTCTGATGGATATATTGCAATAAAGGATCACAATTAGTATTCTCAGAAAGGAACTGCTGTTATTTATAACTTAATTTATGCTGCTGCCGTAGTGGCCAAAATCCTGCGTTTTTGAATCCAGTACTTCCGGTCAGGAGCTTTATTAGAAAGAATACTGTGGAATCTTTTGAAATTTTTTAGAATTTAGAAAAAATTAAAACTTAAATAACCAGCTCATTAATGTAAAGTTTTCGCCAATATTGAACTTGAAACTCATTAAATCAGGATTTCTACAATTATATAACTGATACATCTGTTAGCAGCATTTTATATTTTCTGTTGCTTAAAATATATTTTATTGTCCCCCCCCATACTCGGTTGCATTTCATAATTTAATAAACATCTAATTTTCTTGTCGCCTTGCCTTTTTTTTTTTTTTTTCTGTTGTTGTTGTTAAACTATTCCTAATTTATCTGCATTACGGTGAGAATAATTGTAACTACCTATGGATTTTTGTTCCAGCTGAGCCATTTTCTGCTGAAACGTTGTATGTTGTGGTGCTTTATGCTATATTTGTGCATTTAGCTTCTGTTGCCATCTCTTTCAGAACTAATCTTTCTGTTCTCTGTGCTTTGTAATTTTTTGTAGTAAAATTTTATGTCTTGATATTACTTTCTGCTCTTACAATATATATTTTGTACAAATAAGTAGATGAAATTTTTATGATTTGTTTAAATTTTAGATTGTTAAATTTTTGTATAGTTATATTTGTTTTGCCATGCATGCATTTTTTTAAATAAAAGTTCTTTGTGTTGAGAATTTGTTTTTATTGTTCATCCTCCTAAGTTGCCATTTTTTACTATATTAATTAGGTAAATAAAACGACAAATAGTTTTTTTGTTTTGTTGACTGGTTAGATATGACTCAATATTACATGCATAGATGGACTTTTTTTGTTCCCCATGTTTTAATCCAATTAAGTAAAAAATCTTTTAAAGCCCTAAAGCAGTTCTTTTTATGGTTTTACAGATTATATATTATACATTTAAGGAAATATGATGGGCCTTTCATAGAATTCAACTGCAGTTGCAGATTAATTATTCACATGCATTTAGGTTTTTTCGTTGCATTAAGCACGTACTGTTTTTCACGAATGTTTATGTATACACACATTCATATGAAGATAAGTTATCAGAAACTAAATGTGTTTAATTCAGTGATTAAATACTTTCTACTAACTTGCACAGCATCTCTTCATTTATTTGCTTCCTTTTCATCTAACCTTATTGCACATTAAAAAAAAAGTTGTGCATGATTGTTAAAGAAAACTTTCATAACTGTTTTCCTGTATCTGTGTGTGTATATATAGAGAGAGGGAGAGATTGAAGTATGTGAATATTAACACGTTAAGCATGGTGCTGGGCCCTTCCCTGGGGTTTGGCACTGGAATTTTCATTTGGCTGGCATCTGTCCGCGGGACCGACAGTATTAAAGTTAAAAAATAAATATAGTCTCGATGAAATGTGATCAAATTTAGTTTTAGTTAAATGTATTGAAACATTCTAAACAAAAATACGGCTTAGTTCGCTGCCGGCTGAACGGAAAGGACAGCAAATTTGGCACCGCGCTCAGCGTGTTAAAAGCTTGATCATCAAAATATTTCCTTTCTAAACTAATTCTTTATTTCATATTCTATACTGTTTTCGTTTATTTCATCTAGAGTTATATCAGTTTACAGAGTCATTTTTGCCTGTGTAATTCTTTTTTTTTTTTTTTTTTTTTATCTGTTGCATTTCATTCCCATAATGTGTAATTTTTCAAGTTTGAACGCGAACATATATGGAAAACATGTAGCAGCTTCTTTTGGCATGTCGAATTAAAAATTTCTTGCCATTCAAGATTTGCTCAATGCATTTTTGGAGCTAGGGTAAAGATTATTTCTTACAATTACACGTGTCTGAAAGCAGTCAAAATCCATTTTTATTGTAAATTGATCTAGAGATGAAATTACGAGCCTTGTAATTTTTCTCTTAAAATTCAGTAAATTTTAGGAATTTGATTAAAATTTAGCTGATACTTGGTTTTTGAATCCTTTAATGTTCAAAATGTGGTCAAATTTGCTAAAATTTTCATACTACAGAACTAAAATTTAAGAAAAAGATGAAACAAATCCAAAATTAAATTATTTTTTTTAATTCATTGCAGCTTCTTACATAAAGACCTGACAATTCTTTGTGATGCAAATATAAAAAGTATGTAAAAATATATATTATGATGGCATTATTTTGGTACAAGATTCCATGCACGTTTGAACTCCATAATTTTGATATCAGTTTTTTTGTCTTTAAATTCAAGTCTGGTAAAGAGCAGCATACAAAAATGTATTTGTGATAACTAAGAGGGGAAAATTCGCTTAAAACCCCCAAGTTGACAGTAGTTATTAACTATGCCTAGATCTGTTTAGAAGATAAAAGAATTTCCAGAACATTCAAAACTGTCTCAAGCAACTTCAGAGATAAAGTTCTAAATGTACTTTAGGCGAATTTTCTTTACTTTCTTTGAAATTCTTTACCTCATTTAGTTTTAATGCTTTGTGACTTGTACAAAAGGTGTGAATATACTTTCTTTTGATAAATATCATTCTGTTCATGTTTTGTAGTATGAAATATTTGATCTGCTTGAATGGCATCTCATGGAGTGGTATTATAGTACAAATTTGTTTGGTATTTAGTTTTTAATATTTTAACAGTACATGTTAAAGATATGTAAATTGTACTTCTTATAAGAACTGTTTTCGTACTTTACTATTTTAAGCTTAAAACTTTGCCATGATTAAGGGGGGTGATAGCTGGTTTACTTTGGAAAATCTTCAGGTCTTGTGTATAATTTGGGGGGAGGGAGGGAGAGAAGAGATTTTTTAAGTTAACAACCAGTTAGTTAGGTATAAGGGTTACTGCATGTGAAGTAATTGTCTTATCTGTTTATCGAGGCAGTAAATGCAGTTTAGTTTTTAAAGGATTAGCATGAGTATTGTAAGTATATGACAGTCGTCTATGAATTTTAATTCTTTCATTTTATGTGCATTTCTGTTTCCTATGGCATTTCTGATTCCAGATGTGTATTTCTGTTTCATATGGCACACAAAGATTAATGCAAGTTCAGTGTTGTTTTATGCATTATATAAATGTGGTGTTCATGCTCTATTTGTTTGAATGCTTATGACTTTTCATCAGTATTGTTTAGAACTTGTTGTTTCATGAAATAATAATTTCTCCCACCTTAACTTTGAACATGAATATCTTTTCTGATTAAAAGCAGATTTACGACTGAAGTGATATTAAATAAAATTGGCTCTTGGTGTGACTTTACAAAAAAATCTTGCAATTAGTCTTTTTGACCCATATTATTTCTCTTCAAATTATTTTATGTTTTGTAACAATAGAGCACCTAAAGAAACTTTTCTCTCATTTACATTTTCACATATTCTCAAATTTATCATTCTAAGAAATTTTAATTGCTTATTTATTATGCATTTAGCATATTTCTTAGTCACATTAGCAAGAATGAAATTTAACAGCATCAAACATCAGTTAAATCAGTTTTTGTTGATATTTATTTTTATTCTTAGAGTTTTAATAAATTTAAAATCTGATGAAAGCATATAATGTTTGCATAAATTTCTTTTGCAGTAGCTTACATGTTCAGTGGGTAGGCCATCTTCAGATTCTGTGCCTGATTTCCCTCTTTTCTTGCCACTAAACATCTCATCATATCCACATTCACATGGTTGAAATGAATATGTTGTGCTTTTCTACTCATGAATTGATCCACATTTAGTATATCATATTTACAAGTAGATTTCAACAGTGTAATAAGATTTCATTATCATTGTGAGGTAATAAAATTTCAGCAGTATTTATTTATTTGTTTGTTTCATTCATGTATGTTCATTTTTTGAAGATTTGTGTTCCATTTAGAATTAGCTTTTGAAACGTCAAATGTTTCAGTGTCAGAATGTAATTTAGTTGTACATTTTGATGTGTTTGCTACTGACTGTTTCATAAAAGCAAGTTTTCTATTCTAGAAAGTCTTATCACATTTCTAAATTGCTAAACAATATGCATTCAATGCAAATTTGAGTCTTTCACGTGTAAACTACTTTGTAAAATAATACCAATAGCAGTAATACCTCCTACTGCTGTATGCATTGCAAAATACAGAACTAGCATAGCAATGCTGGAAATTATGAAAAATGTGTGTGATTACAATGTTAATTTATATCAGTTAAGAACTGAAAACAGCTAAATGAATTTTACAAACTGCATGTTTGGGAAAGGAGAATGAATGATTTACTGTGTGATAATGGTATTAGCCTCTGCAGATAAGTAAAGTAATTTCTGCTCAAAGGTTACTTAAATCAATGAAATTTCATATATGTGATCGAGTCTTGGTTTTGCCTACATGTCTTGATGATTATCTCGTATTTTGTAAGTCTGTGGTGGGATATTTGGTAACCATCTTATTATGCACTGGGTAGGTGTGTTCCCTCCTACCTA